ACTGGATCTGGAACTTTCAGGCCTCTAAGTTTGATATCAAAGAGTGGAGTACTCAAACATGACATTCTTGGTGTCTCAAATTTAGAAGGAATTTTGGCTGTGGGAGCTGTTCGATTCCAATAACAATCATTCATTTTTGCTTAGGGAACTAGGAAAGATAGATATTAGGATGGAGATGCATTTTTATTTGTCAGGAGCCATCCTTAAGCACAATATTAATATTATCTTTTCAAAATAGTGAACTGTGGTCGTGCAGTTGCAAGTATGCGGTCAAGTTTGGGCCTTACCTGTGGTCGTGAACTGTGGTATCCGGTTTTCAAATTTGTTGTATCTGATGCTTAGAATGATTTTGCATGTTTGATATCTTAGGTTGGTGCACATTTCATGTGCAGGCTATTCGAACAGGGTGGGTTCATCCAAATATTAATCTGGACAATCCAGAGGAAAGTGTGGTATGTTTCACCATCTCATCAAATTTTGTCATTCTTCTTTTGTCACCAAGGATTTATGCTAGTCCCTGTTCCCGATTGGTTTTGCTCTTCTTTCTCATCTGATCACAATATATAATGGTTATGTTTTGAGTACCCAATGCCTCCGGTGCTTCCTTATATTAGAAAGGACACCTGCAAGTTATATGCATTTTCCTTTATTTATTTTATGTTTTATTTTTCGCTCTTCTCCTCTACTGTCTTTGTAATACTGAAGATTTGATTCAGGATGCGAGTGTACTGGTGGGTGCAAAAAAGGAAAGATTGGATGTGAAGGTAGCGCTATCAAATTCCTTCGGCTTCGGTGGGCATAACTCGTCCATCCTGTTTGCGCCGTACGAGGAATAGCATTTCGGATTTGGTAGGCACAACTCATCCATCCTGTACAAGGAAGGAATGGCGGAGGGTTATGGTGGTGCTTTGCCCCCTCGGGACCGCGTGGATAGGCCTCCTTTTTTTTCTTGTTTCATTTTTAATTTTGATATTTGTTGTTGCAGCAAAGTTAGGAAGAATCCAAGCGTATGTATGTTCTCGCTCCCTCGCTCGCTCGCTCGCTCTTCCTGATGAGACGGACGTCCTCACATTCGAGTAGTTGGTATATGCATTTCGGATTTGGTGGGCATAACTAGCAACGCTGACAGTTTTTAAACCACGTTGGATCTGTAAACTTTCAATTGACATCATCAGAGAGGGTAGCTCTCTCATGATGCAGGGCTTTTGTAAATTTTCATTCGATGTTGTTCATTCTCGTGGCCTTCACGTTGATCCACCGTATCATTCCTTCACTTTCTTTTTTTTTTTAACCTCTGAAATGGAAATGCAGAAAATAAAAACGAATGAAATACTTACGGGTTACCAATAACTCGTCTCTCACACGTTCGTGCAATCCGCAACGATGTAGCGACAGAAGCGAAAAGTAATTTTAGTAGGCGCCCCGACCCGACTCTCGCCCCTTACGCCCCCGAAAAGAAAGAAACTGGCCCCCTTTCTCTCTCTCTCTCTCTCTCTCTTTGGTCCAACATAAGTGCAGGCGTTTTATTGTGTTTATGACCAACAAATGAATTCTTCATCACATTATTAGTCGTAAATATGTTTTCTGTTAGCTTCGTATACCATATACAAAACCATCTTACTTAAATTTATTATCATTCTGACCACTTCAAATAATATCCACAACATTTATGCTAACTATACTACAGTTTTAGTTAATATTAATATTTCATTCATGTTTTTAACAAACATTAAACACAAAAAATCTCATTACGTAACTGACATTCAAACATATAGATGGCTAAGTTATTATTTATCTTTAAATTAAATGTATATTGTTGATTAATGCATATATAAATAAATATTGCAACCCTACTACAAATTCCTATTCTTGCGTACCACTATTATCATGATCATGAATGACGGTGAGAAACTAAACTAAAATATAAGTCACGGCATTTCATTGTTTAACTTACGAGATATCTTTGGTTTCTGTCATATTAAAAGGAAATCTCATGATAAACTACATTTACTTTCATGGGGTTGCTTCATGGCATACTGCGATATCAAGAATACATATCGCTTGCCTTATTCATGTTGTCAAAATCATGTTTAATATGCGAATCAAGATTTAAGAATGTTAGGGTTACCATAACTCTCCTGGCCATCACAAGGCTTCGAGCATGGCAGCCTCCTGTGAGCTGTCCATGTAACCTTCCAAAACCCTAGGACTCATCATTAAATGCTACGGAATCTCTGATTTCGAATCCTTCCACCGATTTGATCGGCAATGAAAGACGGACATGGAAAACGAGCTAAAACACGGCCGATCCCGTGACATCGCTGCGTGGCACAATAACAGCGCCGATTGCATCAGATGCGAACCATATATCGCTGAAGACAAGATTCTCGATCTCAAAACCGATCAGCTTAAATCCAAATTCTTCATCCAGATGCGAACCATATAAAACTTATAACAAGATTCCGATCTGAAAACCAAGCTTATTATATCCAACTTCGTTCTCAGAAAAAGCCGACAGGATCAATTCATCCGGGAAAACCTACGCAGATCTCCATACGAGCAAAGAGGGGGAGAGAAACATACGAAACAATGGACGACTCGCCGATCCTCCCAAGAAACTCGAGGAAGAGAAGAAGACACCAAAAGATCTAGGAATATTCTCGATCTCAAAACCAATTAGCTTAAATACAACTTCGTCATCCAGATGCGAACCATATAGAGCTTATAACAAGATTCCGATCTGAAAACCAATTAACTTCAATCCAGCTTCGTTCTCAGAAAAGTCCAACAGGATAATTTCATCCGGGAAAACCATCGGCTCGAGAAAACTTACCAGATCAGCATCCAAGATGAAGAAAGCCTACGCAGATCTCGATACGTGCAAAGGAGGAAACATAGAAGAAACAAAGGACGACTCGCCGATCCTTCCAAGAATTTAAGGAAGAAGAAGAAAACACCAAAAGAACAAGGAATGATCCATATAAGAAAGACGTTGGATAAATAAACAAAGGCGAAATCGAAGACACACCGGAAATCTTACCCCTCTCTTTGTCCTTCGTAACACCCGAACGCCGCGAAGATGCCAAGAAAAGCTTGGACTGTTTCCGCTTAAATAGGCACCGACGTTGGAAGAGAACATGATGTTACGGTCTCTCGGTGAACTTACCGCTCATAAGTCGGGCGATAAGAGCACAAAAAAAATTAAGATGGCGACAAGTCAATTCAAATTCTAGTGTCCTCCTCTCACCAGAAGTGATCAGAACCTGAATCCGTGGCGGCAAAATTCGAAACCGCCGCGCCACATTACCACCGCTGGTGAACTTACCTCTCGCCTCTCGTAAGGCAGTAGTGAAGTGGTATCGAAGAAGCAGTGGCGTTGTATTCTTCTTCCTTGCGGTGAGTATAATCAACCTTTCTTCTGACGAGAACAATTTTTTTCCTACTTTTCAGGGCTACCCGTTCTCCTACCTCCCTTGTTAACGGAGGAGGTAATCACTCATTGAGGGTCCCATATGCAAAGAAGTACATACATATATGTGAGAAACTCCACTACTATATATAATACGTAATATATTTTACTTTTATAATAAATATGATATATGGTCTCTCAGAAGTCCGATAAATCTCAATCTCATCACATCAAACCTACGAGAGACGTCATCATTACAAACCACACAGTGCACTACGTGATGCATGTTCATCAAGATCGTTCGTTTTGCATCGCCGCTAAGACAGGAACCAAAAGAGGAGACAAACCTGAAACTTCTTGTTTTGAAGGAGGTACTATATATCAGAGAAGAAGCCAATCTTCCAAGCTATTATATATCAGTCTGCAACAATCCATCAACAGTTAGGGGGTTTCAGCAAATGAGTGCAGACTAATAGCAAGACCGCCAGGTCCTAAACCAAGCAGCTGCAAAATGAAACAACACAATACAACGATGAGCAGACTATGGCACTTGAGAAGTCCAATTGAAACGACCGCCATGAGAGATCCAAGTCCCAGTATACCTTGAAGATGGCTTTTGTCACTGAGTTAGGGTCCTCCAGCATGTCCATCCTGATACTGATACATGATCAACATCCATCATGCTTCGAGGTTCGTGCAGGACTTGGTGACTTTGAGATTGTGACAAGACTTAGTGGAAGGCAGGATTTCCAATCCTTCTGTACCACAATGGAGGGCAGGCAAATCCTTCAACATCTGGTTATCTGAGTCAACCACCCGAGCATGATGGAAAATTGGAGAATCCAAAACCCTAGAAAGGTTAAAAATATTCATAATTCATTCCGTAGTGAAGTCTTTGAAGTTATTCATGGTAGCATAAAGCTCTCAGTTTCCATACATCTTTCTTCAGATGATCTTTTTCTTTTCTTAGTACACCATAATTTAAGGGAACAAGAAGAAGAAACAATAGGCCTCAGTTGCCATTTTCAGATAGAAAGATATAGATTGTGCAAAATGGGCAATATGAAATTTCAAATTCTTAGACTGCTGTTAAATAAGAGGCACCAAGAAAAATGAGTTTAGATGCAAATTTAGCAGTTTTACAGGTTTAGCTAAAGCAGATGGCAACCAAAACTTAAGTGAAACATAAGCTTTTTTGTCGCAAACATTCATGTTGGATGATGAAACATGTACAATTTTGTGCAGCAACTCGACGCATAAAGGGTATGCCTTTGAAATCATATTTTTGCAAAAATAACTACTGAAACCTGTCTAAAAAACTTACCTGGACATTAGTCTTTATAGCTGTAGGCACCATGGTGAAGCATATAACACCTGTATATTTTCACAAAAATGAAACATTAACCTGTAAACATTAACTTCTATAACCTATGTCTGAAAAACTGACCTGGGCATCAATCTTGCAGCAGCAGCCACCATGGTGAATGAAGCATATATACCTGTCTGGCACTAGAAGATGTACATGCATTTCTCCTGCCATCTGTTTATACAATGATTGTATATCTCACCACCGTTTCAACCGTACCTGGACATATGGAAAAGTCAAAAGTAATCAAGCCGCATAAGATGTCGCATGATAAAATTCTCAGGATAACATTTATTGGCATGTTAGAAATATATCTTTAGCTCAAAATTTCTTGTGTGGTTAGGTGGATTGTTTCACGACTTTTTGGCAGCTCAGAATGTTCCATGAATTCTTCAACACATCCTTCTTGTGCTCATCAAAACATCAGTTTTCATCAACCTCATAAGTCAAAAGAATCACCCAGATGAGTTAGTCATGTGTCCATACATGTAGATTGCTATAACATATTTATTTGTACTTTCTTTCAAGTATGTGATTTTCTTCTGGAATTTGCATTGGTTGTCCTAATAAATCTTAATATAGTAGCCTTTGGTTCCACAATTTTTTTTCATAGTCTCTTCCATACTACCTGAACAAATTACATCTAAATATGGTTCATTCATTATATTTTAACAGTTCTTTTAATTTTTCTCTACCTCCAGTCTCCTTGAATTGGAACTTGAACAACATTCAATGTTTTGGAGGCTATCAATTCATTTCATAAGTTGAATAATCCTATCTTCTTTGACTCTGTCTATTTCATTATCCATTATGTGATGTTAAGTACAACCATGACCAAGCATGCATTGGCTGTCATGATGACCAAGTGGTCCTCCTTTTCTATTGACACCAAGGATTGTAAAGATCATTACTTTAGGCTGAAGAATCTATCCAGCATCCTAACTCAATTCACACCCTCCTTGGTTCCCATCGCCCAATTGGTTATCAATCACACCAAACATCCATGCAAACAATCTAGCGATTGTTAGGAGGAAAGTTGACTGGAAATTTATTACAGTAAGCCTTTTGTTGTCTCAAGTAAGTACACTTTGCTAAAACCCCATGAAAGAAAGATCAAATGGTCTTTGATCAAAGCTGAGACTTTCTCGGTCCCCAGAAGCCCCTAGAAGCTAACAATTATAACATAATTATCCTTATCATCATCTGTTGGTTGTGGTGGTAAATGTGGTATGATGGCATGGTCCACCCCCACCCCCACCACCACGACCATCCCTTCTTTGCAAGGGGACCAGACTCTTCTGAGAGTCTCGCAAGAGAGGCCTGCGCCTAATGAGAATCCTAGATATAGTCATGAATGTGCCCAATAAATGAGAAGCTAAGATGGGATCATTTTCACGACTCAAAAGTCCCCTTGGGGCTTCTACAGTGTGGCTCTGGGGGCTTGAATGGCCAGTCTGTGTTGGACTAGGTTGGTTGAAACCCCCCTTAGCCTGAAGCTGCCAAAGCAGCACCTTCACCTCGTCCTCTTGCATGCTGCCATGTGCCATCATCAACCTGATCGGAGAAAGGTAGGACCGATACATGGGACCACATTAGCAACAAATGTGGACCCAACCATCCACACCAAGGGAGACAAGCCTCAAGAGTGGTGTTCTTGCTTAAATGCCTAACAATGACAACCATGCATTTGCTTGATGGTCCACCTGCTGTGGCGTTTCGGTATGAATAGGCTGTCAAAACTTATGACAAGGGACCACATTTTGGCAACTCTTTTAGTCTCTACTCTGTCTTTATGTTCTGTTGATAAGGTCGATCTCAATCAGGTCAACTAACATCAGCAATAGAGTTAATGCATGTAACACACTAAATACATTTTATTAAATGATGCCGTATGACCATATGAACTTATCTGTAAAAGATTTACTGAACTCATAATATGCCAAAGAATTTACTAAGACTTGAACGGGTTCGTCCTTTTTTATCTGTACAAGGATAACGATGAACAAATATATAATGTACAGGGTTAGCTGGTGACTCCATGCATCTGCCCCACCAGTTCACAGGTCCATGGGTTGGTCAGAACAAAGAACGCAGTAAGGCAATGTGGCACATTATTTAAAATTTTGAATTAACTTTCTCCATTTGTATTTTACCTTTTTTCCTAAATCTGGATTTCTTATTGAGAACTAATGTTTTTAACATCCATACATGGGTAAAACAGATGCCCCATAGCCATATATCCAGATATAATAGGGGAGTTATCAGTTCTCTGCCCATGTATGTAAACAAATTTATTTTATGACAAACTGTTCCGATGAATTACTAGGGAAACTGACACATAGCAAAGACATCACACTAACAGTTCAAATCAAACCGTGCATGATTGTCATTCAAATTATAAAGAAATTTAATTTTACTTTGGTCAACATGACAATTTATTCATCATTATGCTTTCTGTTTAACAGTCATTATCTTATTTCTATTTGATATACATATTTATGTACATATGTTTGTATGTATGTAGCTACATATACATGAATGGGCACCGTGTGGTACAGTTGTTGTTACTCTATATGGTCATAAGAACAAAGTGCACCTTCTGCAATATAAGCTTACATTTTTTACATGTTCAGCTGCTAGGAACTTGTTAAATGCTAAAAAGTCACATTCAAGTACCAAACTGATCATGAAAGAGGACTCTTAACCTCACGAACGTGGAAAAGCACAAGACATCCTAGAATGTCTTCTACTATTTATGGCAACCCATGAGGCATCCATCAGGATAGAAAGCCTGCTCTGTTCTGTTCATGATTCTTTAATTTCACCCTCCCTTTCCATTCCTTGCCATCTTTGGTTTTAAGAATACCACAGGGAGTGAGAGAGATGAGAAGGAGCTCCTCTTCCAAGCATAGCAACAGGAGCATGGAGGTGGAGCCCAAGTTACAAGAGCCTCAACTGTCTGGTGCCTACATCCGTAGTCTTGTCAAGCAGCTGAGCTCTTCAAGGACCAAAGATCCCACGAAATCAAAGTCTAGAGATGGGGCAAGTGCAGGTGAATTTTCTCAAGACATCGCTAAAGATGGTGAGCGCCTTGGTGACACTCAACAGCAACAATCACCACCATCATCAATGAAAGCTTTGCTACGAAAGAAACAGGTGAGAAGAAGACTCCGTACCAGTAGGCCTTACCAAGAAAGATTACTTAATATGGCAGAGGCTAGGAGAGAGATTGTGACTGCACTTAAACTTCATAGAGCTACCATGAAACAAGCAAATGAGCAACAGCAGCAGCAGCAGCAGAAACAGCAGCAGCAACAACAACAACAACAGAATCCATCACCTTCTCCAACTCTGGAGCTATCTCCAGCAGTGCTAGAGGAGTTGCAGCAGGAGCTGAATGAGTATAGGAGAAATTCTAGGATTTATACTCCTAACAACACATTTCCTAACTACGCCCACAACACCAAATTGTCACCCTTTACTTACCCTTCTTACTCTTGGATTTATCCACCAATTACACGACTATCCATCTCTGATGACCTCAACATCCCTTTGCCCAATCAACCATTAGGCTTAAATCTCAACCTTCAAAGGTTCAACAATAAAGACGAGTCCTTTTGCAACAACCTCAATAGGAAACCATCAATCCAGCCATCATCTTGTTCAAATTCTTCTGCTAGTATCATGTCAAGCATCAAAATACCATGTATCTCAAAGATTTCCTGCCAGGCCTCTGGGGTTCCATTGGATCCTGCACCAGTGTCATTGCATCCAATGATGGATGATGATGAAATTGCAGAGATCCGTTTGATTGGAGAACAGCATGACATGGAGTGGAATGACAAGATGAACTTGATGACAACAGCATGGTGGAGTAAGTACCTCAAAAACATGGAGGATGGCCTATGTGAAAAGGAAGATCCACATGAAGCAGGTTTTCAAATGTTCAATGAGGTATTCAACGTGCCATCTTGGTTGAGTAATGAAGGGGATGCTAAAGAGTCTTGCCTCTTCCAACCACATATGAATAGCGACTACAATGAAGAGGACTACATGCATGATGCTGCCTTTCCATGGTAACAGAAAATTTTCACTTTGTAGATTTAGATAAGGAATGTCTTTAGGAATTTATTAATTGCAGTTTGGTTTCCTGATAGCATCCTTGCTACACTACTTGGTTGTCTATGAATACTAAGATCTTACTAATACTGCTAAAAATCAAATTCTCGATGACATGCCTTAGTTAATACATAAAGCTTCATCTAAGCAAGAAAACAGGTTTGATATGACAGCTAGACAGGACCACTAAATTTTAATGTACCTGGCTTATAGAATTTTATCATCTGAAGGATTTTTTGTTTATGTAGTTACTGCTTTACGCTAGGACTAACTTATTTCAAATATTGTTTTTATCCCTTCCTGCAGCTTTGACACCGGAGAAATCAAAGATTGGAATGGAGAATGGATATTATAGTGAGGCTTATCATTTTTTATAAAGGATGATTCATCATCACTATTGTCATAGTTTTTTTTTTCCATTTTTCATATTTTCAATAAATGACCTTGTTAAAAATATCATGGCAAGCACATGCAGAGTAAAATGTAATGGGGAAAGAGCAAACCAGATCTTTTGTTTGTCAATTGTTCATTATAAGCATATGATCAAAAGAAAGGCTAGAAATATGATAAATTGTTTAGATGCTAATCCCACCTACCACCTGCAAGACTTTGTGATCAAAAGAAGAGAATTGGATTAGTGAGAGAGAAAACCCAATATACAGCAATGTACCAACAGTAGGAGAATTCTAGGTGGCCTTGATCCACACGTTTTCTATTTTTTCTGTTGATGAGAAATTGAAGCCTTAAAAAAGCAATGGGTTCATGAGTCATTTGGTACTTGTTCCTTGTCTTAATGTAATGCACTTCTAAGCAAGAATTAAAATCTCGATCTAATATGGGTATCTATCGGTGGTTAGACTGATACGATAATGGCACCAGTGGTGCACCAAGTGTCAGTATGGCCAAAACCATTAAAGTGCAGAGAAAAGTGAGAAAGAGAGAGATCTATGTATTGTAGCAGCAAACAAAAAGGCAGAGGAGTTGAGCAGTGATGTTCGCGGGAGAAGTTGATGCTGTAGACAAGGAACATCTTGAGTAGTTCATCATCTAGGACTTGCTGCCTGTACAATATCATTCAAGGTCGGGCGAGGACCTCACAAGTTGAGGCTGAAGAAGTCAATGCTTGAAGGTGACAACGACCTCACCGGCCAAGGCGACAATTGGATAAGGAGGACAAGGGGCCGCAACACAGATGAGGGGTGGGAAAGCAGATGGGCTACCCGGATGAGGTTGGAGTTCAATCTCTTGGATAAGATTAAAAGGAAAAAAGAAAAAAGGTAAGTGTCAGTACATCGAGCAGTAGGTTTATTGCCCAGTACAATCTATTATTGGTCATACCAAAAAAAATCATCCAGCCTATGTACTGGTTAATCATTGGACCAATAATTATTGGTTGATACCGACCGGTATGAATGGCTTTACATCTTGCTTCCAAGATTAAGATTGAGGTGGTCAATAGATCAGTGTAGAGACCAAGTTCACCTCAATATTGTTAAGATTAAATTAGATGGACCTAGCCTTGACCACCTCTAGCTCTGACCAACTCATCATGTCGGAGAACTCATAAGACTCTAAATTATCCACAAACAACAGTATGCAATTCAAATTATCTAGAAATTTGGATGCTTCAAAGATGTTTTACTGAATAATGAAAAGAATGGCTTCATTAACTACATGAACCTGAGTTTTTGGTTTCCAAAAATATGGAATGATGAAATGATTGATAAACATTAAGAGCAGCATAAGTAATATAGAGAAGGTTTCGCTAGAATAATTAAGAAAGTTCGTAAGTGTTGAATTTCTCCACGATCATGACTCTTCTCACTTCCCCAGAGGTGGTGGTGATAGTTTGGGAGACAGCACTTTGATGATAACAATTCTTCTATTGTTGTAATTTCTATATGCTTTATGAAAGTAAGGTTTGGTTTGATTCTGTTGCAATTCTCTCCAGATATTTTTCATACTTTTTTTCACAAGGCCTGCCATTGTAGAGTCCTTCAATTCATTCTAGCAGGAAGATCTTTGTTGAATCTGGTATCATCTTCAGGTACCTTAACTTGCCTTGTGTGAACTTTGACAACCCTCTTCAAGTCCTACGCACAATCTTTACACATGTCATAGTCTTTCTCCACTAAATGTCACACGAATGCACAAGAGCAGAGATACAAAGTTTAAGGATCAACTTCTTTCAAAATCATCCATCAATGGTGCAGGAAAGTATCTCCCAATCTAGCGCATTCATGGGCCCTTTTCTTTCACCGAGTCTTGATATGTAAAATGAATGACTAACATACCATTTAAGCAATGCTAGTCTGCAACTTCTGCTCTTGGTCCCCCTAACTACATAAAGACCTGGAGCAAAGGCCATGAAATTGACGAAGCAACCTGAGACACCTTTCCAACCTCCTTTAATTTCCCACTTCTTCTCTTGCTTGGAGCTTTTCAAAAGGCATCTTAAATCGTGTTTGTTAGACAAAAATGCTCCATACTTATCGTCTCATGAACAGACATCAGCATGAATCTTTTAATTCTGCGGCCAAGCATGGAGGCAGCAGTGACAGAGAAGATCAGTATACTTAGAGATACAGCTACAAAGAGTAAATTATGTTCCTCCTATCCGTTAACAAAAAGAAAACTAAGCTAAGCTCTTATGTTTTTCTCACAGTTGTCATGTGAAACTGCCAACTTCTACAGAATAAAATCACCATGATCGAGTTGTACCACTATTATTTATCAAGAAACCACATGAGTTGAACAGGTTTATGGTTTACTTTTGTCTTCCATATCCAATTTAATTAGCCTTTTAAGGCCACGAGTGGCCGCTAACAAGTATATCATGCAAGCCAAACAATCATATCCATGTAACTTTAACCGATTCAATATCATATGTTATCCAAAATCATTCCGGTGCATTCGAATACCAAAGTTGAACAATAGCACAATCGTATTCCAACGACGTTAAACTAATATTGTGTCTAAAAAAAAAACTATAAAAGCAATAATCAACTTGCTCAAAAATATTTCCGTTAGATGGAAGGTCACCAGGGGATCAGATGCTTCACATATACTAGCACAGTAAAAAGATCAAACACTTTGTAAGCACATCAGCAATGAAAAGTCGTGAGGGTGTTACTGTTAGGTCATCAAAATTTTTGAGATATAAAGCTTGCGATGCTGTGGCTATTATGCTTTGGCTACAATAGAACATGATGGACACCTGAAAGATCTTAAAGCATCTCATAGAGCATGCTGCATTTCAAAGAACAGCAACTGAGATGACGACAACTCAACCGATGAAAAAGATCAAATGGAGATTAGCGGTCCTATAGTGAAACAGTTGGATAATGGAAAACCTAAGTCGGCATGGTCTTACTTCTCGAGGAGCATGTTCCCACCAATCACTTTATCGCCGTGCCGTGGAAGGAGGTGGAGCAGGCAGATTAGGGTCACCCACCAATCCCCGGAAACGGAACACTGTCGCTTGCCCTCCGCGCTTCAACTTTATCTCTTCCCCTGTGTCGAGATGGTTTGCTGGTTTTCAAGACCAAAAAGAAACCCATTAATTGTAGTGGTACCGACCACTGACCATCACTTAATGTATTGAATGCTCTCTCTCTCTCTCTCTCTCTCTCTCTCTTCCATCACAATATAACTTGGCACCCTAATTCTGTGTTTAGCTACTATTAGTCTCAGTTTAGGGGTTTACTATTTACACTCCTTTATTATTGACAATCTCTTATTATTCATATATATATTTTTTAAAAAATAATAAAATATTTTTATTTACTATTTATGATCATAGTATGATTTATTTTTATTTTTTATTCCTCAATTATCTCTTATTTCATCTTCGCTATTAACATTGTTATCATTGATCTTGCTCATCGCTAATATTGCTCGTTACTTAATGCTATCCGATCTTCATCGTTGTCCTATTAAGAAGAAGAAGAAAAAAAAAAGGAGGAGCAAAGAATGAGAAATAGAAGGTATTTACATCCATTTACAAAGATATGATTTAAAAATATTTAAAAAAAAGAAAAATAAAAATCATAAATAGTAAAAATGTGATTGCAATTAGTAATCTTCTCGATCTATTCTTTGAGTTTTATATGATCAAAATGATCATTATTATTTTCGTCTTCATTATTACTATTCTCATTAATATGAAAATATGTCACATAAGTGAGTAGTCTTAAGTCCATCGAAGAGATTTTGTTGAGTATATTTCTATTATAATCTACGATCAAATTAAACAATCGACTTAATAATACTTATTATTATAGATAAATAATAAAATCAATAATGGTTAACTCAGTTGAGATCGTCGAAAGTTCATCGGATTAGATTTCAAATTCAAATGCTTTGGTAAGTAAATATAGTAAGTACATCGTCGTTTAATCAATGTCTTTGAGATTTTACACTATTACTAAAAATTTATTGAACCCTAAACTAAATTTCTGTAGATTGGAAAAAGAAGAAGTTGTGCATTTTATGTCTTAAACAAATTGGCTGATCAACTGAGAATTCTTTGGATGATATGGCTGTGGTGAAAATTATTTTCCAATCGAATGATATGAAGATCGTAAAACAAAAATGACATGAACGACAAACAATTGGCTGATCAACTGAGCATTCGGTGATGTAGCTGACATCAGTCTGCTCCGGCAGAGGAACACAGGTTGACAAGAATCAAGCAGCTTTAGCTTCCCCCAACTCGGATTAGAAATCATGTAGTGGTTCTTCACCGACCCATCTCTTCAATTAATGGCAACCAGAAATGCTTGAAGCCATTTCTTCACTCGACATCACTCTTATTATTAAGATCAATCTTCGCATCAAAGAAACATAATTGTTGCTTGGTTTGTAGCCGATGACATGAGAGAGGTGATGTAGCAGAAGATCCATTACTGGCTCTCGTCTTCCTTGTAATCCTGGTTGTTGTATGCGCTGAAGAGCTCGGCGAGCCAACTGCGCTTCCTCCATGAGCTCCATCCCATCTCCTCGCACATGTCGTCGCTGTGGTTGATGCTGAAGGTGGAGATGCAATGGCGGCGGTAGAACCTGGTGGTCCTCTTCATCACGTCGATCTCCGCGCCGGTCTGCCGGAACATCGCCCCCGTCCCCGGCAGCTTGAAATGCCCCCTCAGCAGCCGCCCCAGCCATTTGCACCGTAGCTCCGACGTGTGCAGGTTCGACACGCTCTCGACGTACCCCACGAACGCCATGTGCGGGATGAGAGGATGGATCGTTCCCCTGCCATTAACAGAGGAAGCCGCATGAGAAGAAGCTCTTCATCTCCGATCCCTCCATCATCGGCGTTCCGTAGCTTACCTATACAGCGGCATGACACCGGATGAGTCCACGATGAGTCCGCGGAAAGGCTCCGGAAGCACCGACTTCAGTTTCTGCTTGCCGTCGAATCCGGTGGCGAGGAGCACGACATCAGCCTCCAGCTTGGTGTTGTCATCCAAGACGACCCCGCCTTCCCAGAAGCACCACCGCGACGACCTCTTGAACGCGATCCGCCCCTCGTCGGCCTCCGCGAAGAAGTTCTCCGGCAAGATCGCCATCTGACACGAGGCGTAGTCCTCCACGAAAGGATGGTTTGGCTTCAGCCCATACTTCTCCAGCGGCAGCTTCCATGTCAGAGAGGACTCGATAAATCTCGACACGCCTCTCCTCTGTGGCGTTGAATCCCAGCGTTAGGACCCTAAGATGATGTTATAGAGCAGAGGAGAGGCGTACGAGGGTGAAGCATTCATTACCAAGGGGGACAAGAGGTGGCAGGCAAGAGACCGGAAGAGACCTTGGTTTGGCCTTTCATGGAGGAACTGAGAAAGCCTCGTCGAGAAGAACAGGAAGAACGGCAGACCCGATATGGAGTAAGAGGGGACGGTCCAGTGAAGAGTCCTTATCACCATGGTGCAAGGTTGACCATCGCTCCCTTCACATCACATTCATAAAAAGTCGATGAGACATGTTGCCAAGCTTTGACCTTCTCCAAGCATTAGTCAATGTGGTGGCTTGGGTATCTTACTGTGGGACTAAGTCAGGCAAAGGTTAGTTAGGTAGCTAGTTTAGCAAAAGTCAACTTCTTAATCTTATTCTTGGATAGAGATTTAAATGGGAAGTCAATCAGTCAACATCTCATTCTTCATGTCTTGACTTTGACCAAGATTAGGTCAGCTGCTTCTCTGTCTTGCCCGCGACAAGGTCATTAATGCATGCAACTTGTTGCATAACTCTCAGAAAGCCATAATCCAACCTCGAGGGAGAGAGAGAGAGAGAGAGAGAGAGAGAGAGGACAGGTTTGACTTGTGATCCAAACACTAACGCACATGTGTTCCTTCCGTATTGTGATACTGTCACTTTGATGGGACAGAGATCTCGTTAGAAGCTGTGGTCACTACGTACGTACCGTGGTTAGCTTCGGCGCACTCGACAGCGAGGTCGATGGCGGACTTCTTGTAGCCGATGATGACGACCTTCTTACCCTTCATCAGTGATTTGGCGGCTTCGTCGTCGAGCTTGCAGTAATCCAGCGAGTGCAATACCTTCCCTAGGAAGGTCTCCGGCCCCTTCCCACGGGGAAACGTCGGCATGTTGGGGACGTCGCCGTACTTCCCGATGCACATAACCACGAACTCGAACTTGCACCACTGGAATAGGAGCTCTCTGTAGTTAGCCAAGCGAACCCTAGCCAGAGGAAGAGGAAGAAGAAGTGGGCATGCACCTGAACGGTGTTGGAACGGGGGGTCACCACGCCGACTTCCCACACGGGTCCGTCGGCGATGGGCCGTCCCTTGTCGCCCCAGAGATCGGTGAAGCCGGTCTTCGTCTCGCCGTGGCCGACGAAGCGGATCTCCACCACCTTGGTCTCGAGCTCGATGAACCTCCACAGGTCGAAGTGGGTGGCGTAGCCGTGCAGGTACTCCAATATCTCGGAGTGGGTTGGGAACGTGGGGTCGTTCCGGTCCGCCCACTGGTAGTCGGAGAACTCGTAGTCCGGCCGCGGCGTCTGCAGCCTGGTGGAGCGGAAGGAGCAGTGTCTCCACACCCCTCCGATCGAGTTCGTAGCCTCGAAAAGGACCGGCTCGAGCCAGCGCAGCTCCTTCGCCGCCGCCAGGCCACTGATTCCTCCCCCTATTATCGCCACCCTGGGCGTCCCACTCTTCTCCATCCTCTCTCTCTCTCTCTCTCTCTCTCTCTCTCTCTCTCTCTCTGTGAGAAAGGGACGAAGGTAGTGGATGGAGGGCACGGCATGAGGGGTGTATATATAAGCAGGCAAACGAAGGGGAGAAGGCACGTGAAATGCATGAGGATGTACATGGCGAGGTACGAGCATAAATAGCCATGGCAAGAAGGTCGTCGGCGATTGACCATGGTGCAGGTTATCAGTCATAATTCCTATTGGATTTAGACTGAAAAAGAATCAGAACTAATAAAGATGGAAAGGGATCACAAGAACAGTTGAAACAGTCCACTGAGATGTTTATGGTTTCTTTATCTTCTTCACCCTCACAAGGTTGTGTGCGGGGTAATGGGGAAAGCGGTGTGAGATTTCCATGACTGTTTCAAAGTTGGAACATGGTATTGTGGAGCTTCATGCTGGCAGGGGGGGTTGACCTAAAGACCAGCTTGGCTACAAAGATTTTGTGGAGGCCTTCCACGGATTTGGAGGACAGGAAGAGTGGATTTCTCTTGGGGGTGCATTTGGCATCCATCAGAAGACTACTTCTTCAAGCTCACTGATGGACAATGCCATGACTTATTCAAAGGGCACAAACCAAGTCTTCACGCATTAGAAAACCCAAGTTTACAAGCGTACATCTCTTCCTAACACTTGCAGCCATGCCTGCATGCTCGAGAGAGATATGATCATGTTTCATTGCAGCCTCGCTTGTACTACACATCTTCCTTGCAATTCCTATACTCTCTCTCTCTCTCGCTCCATGGATTTGTGCATCTTCCTCACATATAACTTGATGAAGATTCTAAACCCTTTGTGTGTTATCATTTTAGAGAAAGAGAAAGAGGTGTCACATTGCTAAGGATTAAAAGAAGAAGTACACTGGATATGTAAATGTCAATATCATTAATAAATGTCAAGAGAGTTCTTGGATTATGTTGATATCTAATTCAGTTTAGGCTCGAATAAAAAATAAAAATAAAAATTTGGGGGAATTAAGAGTTTACTAATTCATTAGAGTGACATGAAATTTATATAGAATTTTCTTGGCTCGTTCCTTGAGTTACTTAGATTCAAACGGCTTGCCAATTATGAAGAAGAACACACAGTTTGTGCTTCTAAAGTCAAAGCAAATGCCTTGGAAGCTGACCAGAGAATGTGATGGTTCTCCTCAAAGTACTTGGCCTTTACTTTTTTCTTTTCACTGTCAATTTGTCATAAACTTGATGTGATCTAGGTGACCTATTTCATGTAATATTTTCCATGTTCTTCTTCGTAGTATTTATTATTCCTATGGAGAATTGTCATACCCTCTTCAGATGACATCAGGAACACATGCAATTGACCAATATGGTCAACCTGTTAAAGAGTTGAATGAATTAAAGGTCACCCTGAATCCATGCAGCTTGTGAGACCTGCATCACTGCAGGGAAGTAGTTCAAATAGTGTGTGTCATAATGGCCAAGATTAGCCACCACAGAACACAGAGACAGCAGTGACTCGAAGACGTGTGGCCAAATAACAGCCTTTTATGCCGAAGTTAAAACCCTGAAAGGTATTAGGAGTTCAATTAAGAAGCATTGGTGTAGGTCTAATTTTTGGCACGGAAACAAGTACATGAACAACAAGTTTGCAATGTAGACCATTGGGTGACTGCTACTTGGAAGAAGATAATTGGGGGAACATTAATTGCTTTAGGTGCTAACAGATATGACCATACTCGATTCATCAAAAAAGCAAATTTATTGAACATGTTTTACTCATGTGACAAAGGGATGAAATATCCCTATAAATTTCATAATTTATGAAATTGCATAAATTGAGACGACTTCTTACCTGTCTTCTTGGTTGCCTATTCATCCTATAAATGCTATGGTTGAGATATATACAGTAAAGACACAAAGAGTCGTATATAAAATTCTTTTTGCACATCCAAATTTTTTGAAATTTATTTTCATGATATCAGAGCTACTCTTTCTTCCTCGTAAAATCTATTTGTATGACTGAAATGCTGTTAGATGATGCTTTCTCAAATCATCAGTTGATATAGCTACACAAATTAGGGGGAAAAGTCCAAATGCTATTTATTTCACTTGCAAGGAGGAGAAGAAATCGGTAAGAAAGAGCAAAAAGGATATTCAAAGCAAAGCTTATCTTTTTTCTCTTCTTGACTGCTGGTCTGGTCATGATCTGAAAGCCATCTGAGAGAGGAGGACTTCACAAGTTTCTAGCACCAGATGTAACCCAAAAAACTTGAGCCATTCATGCTATGCAAATTGTATCTGAAGTTGATAGTTTCATGGTACTCTAAAAATAATCAGCTCCCACACAGGAGAAAGAAATGCCAGTCACTAAAAACTTGTCTGATGCTAATCATGTGTTTCTGGTGATAAATGTTGTGCAATGTTGACCTATAAAACCTGTTGTATTCTGCATGTATTTATTGCAGAAACCTGTTAACGTTTCTCTACTTCCTCTGTGACCAACTCTCTTTCATTTAATTGCTGTTCTTGGTTGGTCAAACAAAGCACATCAAAACTGCAACTGCAATTCTTAAATAGCATGAAGCCCATATGAACTGTAGGTGTCAGTGGAAAATCCAAAGCAATATTAACCTTTTATGTTAGGAGTTTGTGCTGCTAACTTGAAACAGACTTGAACAAACAACCTAAAGATAAATCACATAAAATTATGAAAATTAAAAAAACATATACGCGTTTATGAAGCTCAGGTGATGATAAAATAGTTTGATTTGACAATGAGAACTTAAAAAAGAAGTATGTTTTCTTCGATGTTGCAGTAGACTCTTGTGAACTAAATTGGAACTACATGTCACAGATATATTAACTTTGTTGATCCTATCAAAAAATATCCGAGATTAAATTAATAGTAATACAGTTATCAAATATGTATAGATCAATTTAAATATTTGACAAATAAATCAATTCAAATCTTTAATCACTTCACATATACTAAACTTAAAAGCGACTATAACCTTCCCAAGAAGAAATACTTGGCAAGAAGAAATCCTAGTCGATGCTAGAGCGCATCTGACACCCATTGTCACCATCGGATCTGCTGGAACAACTACTCATTAACTTTATAGTCCAAAATGCTTTAATCTAGTTTAGTAATAATACAAATTAATTTAAGTCTTCATTTACCATGACATTTGTGTGGGTGTGTGTGTGTCTCTTCCACACCTCAGTGATCCAATTCCTTTGTGCCTCGTCATAGATCGATCAAAGGACCCCATAGTTTAATTGCTTTAATTGTCGACACCAGACTCAGGCCATTAAATTTCACTCACCTGTTATCTGACATCTAGTACATCCTTCTCCACCCTTTTTTTTAGGTGGGGATCTCCTAATTGCCTAGTTTGCATTTATCTGATAAACTTTTGTCTTCTTGTCTGCTCATTTTCTTTGCTGTTTGTTCTTTGTCAACTCAAATTTTATATCTCTTGTTCAATTAAAACAAAACTGCTAAAAATCCTCAAGTTTTGATTGTGGCATTTATCCTAGCAATGCTCTCATTTCATTTAAAATGACCTGTTCTAAATTTTCCTATCATTTCCAAGTAATCTGCAAAGCATTGAAGCTGATTCCTACGTTATCAACATTGATAAGAAATTTCACGTTAATTGAGCTTCCAAAGAGCATGATATGTGGTTCTCAACATGCCATCGCTAAAAGTATATTGCATAGCCAGAAGAGATAACAATTATCAATGCATATTTGCATTAAGAACTACAAAATGTCTACAAAATTTCACAAGCAGAATGAGATTAACCAGATACTGTAACTACTAGGCAATGAATAGAAACAACATAACCTTGATAAACTCCAGTCTTGTCTTGTTGGTGACCATGTTTAATTGGCAGGACTTCAATACGAAGGGAGGACAGCAATCACATCAGATGCTCTCAAAACAATGTAATCAGCACCATCAGCACTCTTGAACTCACTCCCAGCATACTTAGAATACAAAATGGTACTCCCAGGGCTGATCTTCAACGGTTTTCTATTGCCTACCTCGTCCAATGGGCCGGGGCCGACATCGATCACCTGTTATGCACATAGTACAAGAAAGGCAGAGAATAGCATTTTAGCTAGTGTCAATCTCGTAAGAAAATAAATCATGCTAACTCACCGGGAAACTTAATACTGAGCTGCCACCCCTTTTGGGGATAAACCCGAAAGAGGGGAGTACCACGATGATTAGTTTGATTGTCATGGAAATGCACGCATCAGTTCGACATGCAATAAGAATACAAAGGGATAAAGAAGGCCAAAAAGTCACTAAAGTAGAAAAGGACAAGGAAAGAAAAGAGAAAAAGAAGGTTATCAAAGGGATACAGAGAAGAACGAGAGGGCAAAAAGGAAGACGGGTTACATTTTCCTCCAGCTAAAACAAGCAAATGAGAAAAATTTTCGCCAATTAAACACAGAGGCATGAGGCATTAGAATCGAGGTTAACCAGTGGGCTTTGCAAAGCTTTCAAGTGATATACAACCGAGTGAAGTCCAACCATTATAAAAGCTTAAAGATGTTTACTTATATTGACATTCTTTCACTACTACAATCTCTGAGTGGAAAGCTCACCGTCCCGACCGAGGGCTTTTCCTTTGTAGCTTCAGTCAACAGTAATCCACCAGCAGTCTTCACTTCAGCTTCTGCAACCTGAGAAGAGAAGAAGAGGAAAAGACAAACTAATCACACGCACACACACATTCTTCACATTTGCAATAACTTAAATGTTGCCAGCAGTTGCTATTTCTTGAAAAACTGAAAATATAAGAAAACCTTAGAAAAAAGCTAATAGGACATCCAGACTTGAGCAAAAATTAGGTTCCAATTTTACAGTCGTAGCAATCAGGAGAATTGATCTAGAAAATTGATCTAATATCATTTTAGATGATTAATAAGGCCAGCAATCATGGCATCCTGGCAGCATCAAGACAGAGGTTGGAATCAAATGCCTCTGGGTCTTATTTCAAGATGACAGTAAATATATTTCACACAAAGACCATACAAGCATTAAAAGTACAAGTTCAATAACCGCATGCCTCAGCTAAAATGTGATAAAGCTAAAAAATAAGACCAAATAAATGATTGTTCGTCAACATTCAGACATTCCTATGGACATTTTATTAGAAAATACTAAAGTTGGGGGAAAAGGAGACAAGAAAGCGAATGAGTTTTTAAAAAACATATTATGGAAATCACTGGAAATTATTTTGATAATGGCTTACCATAACATCCTAAATATGATTTAAATTACCTCAGGCAAATGAATATGAGATTGTTTTAGTCCCAAAGCAACGTGGGAATCCTTTTGAGGGAACCATCAACGACACATGGCCCTCATCTCGTATATCTGATGGGAAAGTAGGTAGCAACATATGCAATGCCAATTATTCGCCGCTATGTCATGGTCCAAATATGGAACTCAAGTGGGGAGTTCGCATCCATCTAAACCAGAACCCATAATAAAAAAAGCCTCATACAGTAGGTCACACTTTTATATTACCATTATTAACTAAGCTATGCACTCATTGCACAAAGATGCATCGGAAAGGGAGCAAAAAGTATACAAGCAAAACAAGCTTTAACGCATACCCTGATCGGAACTAGGTCTGAATGAAAATAACTGTATAAATGAAAAACAAGTCATACAACAAACCTTAATTAGAACCCGGTCATTAAGCGGCTTGAGGTCCTTAATATCATCAGTTTCAAGAATACCCAGTATATCATTTTCCTTCAACAAAACATGATTAGATCCATTAAATTCAAGCTCTGTTCCTGCATACTTCATATAGACCACCTGTTTACCAGCCTACAACCAAATAAAGAATGTATATCATCAAAACTCAGCTGACATGTTGGTTGCTCAAGACGAAATTAAAGGTCAAGAATACAATTTTTAAGCAGTGATACAGCTACGTTACAGGCCCAAGTATCGAAATAAAATCAATTATAAACGAGTGAAAGTGAATTAAAATCTGTACATGCATAATACTATGATTAACAACCTTATATACATTAATTCTCATTCTCCATTATCTAATATGGGCCCTAGTTTATCGCAATTTATTTTCTTCCAAATTCAAATGTAGAAGTAAGCTGCCTGAAATTGGTGCTAGCATGTAGAAAAAGATGCAACTTTGTACATGTGAAAGCACCATTCTTTCTAAAAGTTCTAGAAAATTTCTAAGAATGGGTAAACGGCCAAACTTATACAGCATCCAGAATAAAAGATTGCCATTACTAGGATCAGAACCATGAAGAATATTCACAAAACCCACAATTCAACTATCCAAAATGTCGAGTGGAAACCATACCTGAACACTGATATCTATTTGCTTTGGTCCAATTGTTCTACCTTCCCCAACAGCAACAACTTCACCCCCTTGAGGTTTTGACTGGGCAGTTGTTGGAAGCAGTATTCCACCACTGGTTTTCTCCTCCAAGGATTTAATCTTAACTAGCACTCTATCACCCAAAGGTTTGATGGATGTGTACTGAAAAAATCCATGAAAAGAGCCTATAAGGTAGGAATATTGAATTTGTTCCAAAAAAAGTGATTCTTGAGTAAAATATTGTCCCTAACCATAAAGACAAAACAACAAGAAGTGAAGGCATCGAAAAGAGCAGCTAAAGCACCCTGCAAGGCCCTGAAGGCTATTCAAATCCAATCACTGAATCAAACACTTTATGCACACGTATGCATATGTTTCATTGTTAATGATTGCAAGCAATCATAAAAGGTTCAAACTATTTTATGGTTTCCAAGATTCCGAAGGATTTACTTCTTGATAGCTTAAGATCCAAAGGACTTACCTTCATAGCCAACACTCGAAAATTGTTAACTAGAGATGCAAAACGAAAAGTAGCACAGTTATCCAAGTCAACCTTGTCAAACATTGACATAGGTGACACCACATGATGCAGATGGCTGAATCGGCTCCACAAGAGAGTGAAACGTTTAGTTCCTTCAAAGAACCAAGTCTAAATAGAACCTCCTAATACCATTAAATTAAGAACCCAATAAAAAAAAAGGACCAACAACCATCTCCAACGCCACACTCTCACCTCAGCTCAGCCGCCATTACAGAACACACCCACCGAAATGGCAAGAATGCAACCCAAACACAAGAAATTGAGGGTCAGTTAAGTTGATATACCTTCGGAGCAACAACCGTCGCAGCCTTGACAACGAGGCCAGGGAAGCCCCTCCGCTTGAGCCCCACCATGGGGATTCCAACCGAAGAAGCAAGAGGAGTGATGGATGGGGCGAGGCGGAGACCCTCAAACGAGGGCATCCCCCTCGCTCCTACCACGCCGCATCCATATGGCTGCAAGGCCGCCATCGACACACCGACTAACGCCCACCTGCAACCAAGACGACGCACGGAAACTATAAAAAAACCAAAAACTTTCTGCCGCATTTAGAGTCAGCACGATAAGAATCCAAACATTCAGCAGAAATGATGAAACTAATGGATCGAAGGAGACATACGAACGGAGACGGAACCCTAAAGCTCGAGCTGCGCGAACCCGATGAGAAGGTGTGGGGGGAGCTTTATCCAAGAAACAAGATCGTGATGCCTCTCGGTGATGGTTTAACAAAACGGTTCCTCTCGCAGAACAAGTAGCGGCGAAGGGTTCGGCTTGGCGCGGGTGACATGAAATAAGGTGTTCCGGGAGATCAACGTACACGATTCGGGGTTCATTAGTGGCCGGAGAAGATGGTTCTAGATTTGGAAGGTTAGTATTAACATCTGAATTTAGGGTTCGATTAGGAATTCGTACATCTAATGATCGATCAGTTTCGCCTCTGATCGATTAGTAATTGGAACTTTGTGATTCGTGTGTGATGATAAATTTCGATTTCGAACGAAAATGCCATGACTCCCTTTTCTTTTATAACTCTATTATTTGTTTCTTTAATCAAATTCGTCCAATTTCATTTTTCTATTCCGTTCCACAATTATATATATATATCTATATATATATATATATATATATTAGTGTCAACAACAATAAGCCGTGATTTTGGAGCCAACACGGTTGGGTTCGGATCCGAATCAGTGGAGATCTTTCTGGACTACCCTTGAGAGTGCTGAGTTAGCCGACCACATTGGTCCGGTCTTGAGCGCATGGTGGGAGGCGCTCCGTCTTCGTCCTTGGTCGGGTCGGGAGAGCTCGACCCGACCTCTCGGATGATCAAGTCAGTCGATAGTCTTAGAGGATTTTTTTTCTCTTCCTCCTCGTTCCGAACGCGAGAGTTTTTATAGGGAAGGTCACCGTTTCCTGATGTGCCCGCTTGCAGGGAGCAAGATTGTACCTGGAAAAACGTCTAACACTGACGTTGGGGTTATGTGAAGGACCAAGCTCGATGGCGATATGCGTTTTGGTCTGCCTCGACCCGACGCTGTCAGGTCAAATCGAGGCGAACAACCCATGCAGCTCCTTGATCCACGTGACCCAAGAGACTTCACCCGGGAGCAGGTGACTTCAGTTTACGTCCCATCATTATTATTACCCTCATCAATATATATATTCTTTCGACATATACGATTAATTTCTTCACTGACTAAGCTAGCAAATCTTGAGTAAGACAATGCCACGCACGAACTATAAAGCAAACCATTGATTCGAAGGAGAGCTTCGAGCAGGTCTTAGCGACAGACGTGAACTATAAAGCAAACAGAAGCCATTTGCCAAGGCCATGAAGCATGCATGCCCCCCCGTGGGCTTCGTCAACACTAGAGGCCGACCGGGTAGCGGTCGGCGCAGTCGAGCCAGGGGTTATTCGTGCTCAGCCTGGGAACGCGCCGCATCGCCTTCCACACCGCGCTGTTACACTTGAAGCCGGACCCGAAGGCGATCTGCCACACCCGGTCGCCGCGCCGCACCCGGCCCTTGGCCTCGAGGTAGGCGAGCTCGTACCAGATGCTGCTGCTAGACGTGTTGCCGAAGCGGTGAAGGGCGGCGCGGGAGGCCTCCATGTGGCGGTCCTCCAGCTCCAGGTTGGTCTGTAGCGCGTCCAGCACCGCCTTGCTCGCCGCGTGGATGCAGAAGTGTTCGAACGCGAGCTTGTAGTCGGGAATGTAAGGCTTGGTGGTGGTGGTTGTTGTTGTTGGTTTGGGGAAGGGGTAGCGGTAGAGAAGGGTGGCGAAGAAGAGGAGCTGCTCGGAGAAAGGGAGGACGAGGGGGCCGAGGGTGGTGATGTTGACCTTGAGTGCATGCCCGCCGACCTCCATGAGGTCACGGCTGATGGAGAGGCCCTTGATTCTTTGCTGGTCCTCCTCCTGATACACGCACCTGCAGAAGGGATCGCATCTTTGGCATCAATATATGTAGGTGAGGGCACAACAGCAGCGGCGATTGAGTACCTGAAACTCCGTTCATCGGCGCCCTTGTGGGTCCTCACGATGTGCTCAAGGCGGTACTTGGCCCGGCGGAAGTCGCGGCGTCGGTTGGAGAGCAGCACCGCGGAGCACCCCATCCGGAAGAAGCAGTTGGGTATGAGCATGGAGCGGTTGCTACCAGCGTACCAGGTGAAGGACACCGCCTCGGTGCTCACCACGACGGCGTAGCTGCTGGGGTTGGCCTGCAGCATATCGCGTGCCAGGTCGAGCGCCACGACGCCGGCGCTGCACCCCATCCCGCCGAGGTTGTAGCTCAAGATGGTACCCCGCATCTTGTAGTGGTTCACGATCATGGCGGAGAGAGACGGCGTGGGGTTGAAGAGGCTGCAATTGACGACGAGGACGCCGACGTCCTTGGGCCGGACGCGGCACTTCTGGAAGAGCTCGTCCAGGGCGCCGAACATGGCCATCGACGCCTCCGCGCGGCCCTCCTTCATGGTGGCGCAGTTGCCAGGGGAGAAGATAGACCTGGGGACGTAGCTCTCGTCGCCGATGCCCGAGTTCTTCAGGATCCGGGATTGGAACGCCAGGCTCTCCTCGTCGAACTTGCCGGACTTCCTCGCCAGTTCCACAAACTCCTCGTTCGACACCTGACACGCAGCACCACGTAAGCTCCAAACCGCACGCTGCGGTCCACGGAAGACATCGACTGCGTACCTTGAGATCATCAGACGGACGGTAACAGGCGAAGTCGACGAGGTAGATGGGCCTCGGCTTCGACATGAAGTAGACGGCGACGGTGAAGGCGAGCACGCCGAAGAAGGCGAGCACAGTGGCGAGGTCGTAGCTCGTCTCCTCCCACACCTTCCGCCACAGCGCCTCCCGGGTCAAGCTGCCGACCTCCGCGCTGAACACCACGACGAGCACCGGAACGGTGACCAAGTACACGGCGTGGCTGATGAGATAGTGGTAGCCCAGCTTGACGTACTTGAGGTTCACCGACTGGAGGAAGTCCGGCAGCCTCCGGCGCACCCTGACCGAAAAGGTCGGCGAGCCAGCGTCGGGACCGGAGGCCTCCACCCCCCGGTTGACGATCTCCGTCGACAGGAGGGTGTGCTCGCCCGCCATGTCTCTCCTTCTCCCCATGGCGCCTAAGAGGAACAGCTGCAACGCGTTCGAACGGGTTGCGGGTGGATTTGTAGCGGGAGGGAGGGGGTGGATGAGAGAGAGTTAATGTCGGCACCAACCAAAGGAGAGTGTGGTTGGAACCACCATTAATTCCCATTGATGGAATTAAGGTGGGGGTGTTCGAATTGAAGCTGCTCTGCATGTAGTTTGACGTGTTGAAGCCTTTCTCTATGCCTGACGCAGATTTCTCTTCTTGAACTTGGGTAATAAATGTGCCAACACGCTCGGTTGGCACAGATCATGGCAGCTCAGCTACTTCAATACCATCAAAGTACCACATCAGTCTAAGCTTAGCTTAATCTAAGAATTCCACCATTTCATTACAAGTAAAAATGTAGATCAACATGATAATAACAAGTCTAGATTGCATGAAAGTTAAACCTTAGGTCTTCTCCATTTAGTTGCTACCAGTAAGGAGTTGGTAAGAAGATAAAAAGAGTCAAAATCCACTTGGTTCATGGACGGTGTTGTGAGTGGTTAAAGCTTCCTGGAAACACCCTAATAATATTAGTATGAGAATGCCCCACCAGTAGCTTAAAGGCATGCATTTATTGAAAGCTCAGAAACTTCTCCTTCTATTAATTGCTAGACTCAGATGAAGTGTCGTGTGAATCACAACATTTGAAAGGTATTCGTTTTCGCCCACAAGCTTAAGCTAAGTTTGACTCAATCTCAACATCAACTATTTGCAAACTCAACATCAACTATGAAATATGGACATGATAAGTTTGCACACAAAAGAAAAAGAAGTCCCAGTCAAGTAAGAGAGAAAAGAAGTCTCACATCAGGAATGTTTAAAAGGATTGAGTGAGTGACATACATCAGAGTCTAACCCACAACTTAACAAACTCAAGCTGAAACCTTTAAATTGAATTGGTGTCGAATTTGATATATATCAATTGCTTCATAAATGCAAAGAAGGAAACAAGAGAGGGAATAGATACTCCAGCTCACCACAAGTTTTTATGCTTCACATGTATGAGACCATTGAAAACCTTTGGCAGGAACTTTGATTCTAGCTGATTTGGTGCTCGACGTTTGTATTAATCTTCGATTTCTAATGATCATGGAATACACAACCATCTCAATTCACTTTGTTCAACTCCACATGAACGTCATAAATGTATAGTGGAAAGATGGAGAGGGAGGAAGAGAAACGGACCTTTCAGTTCTAAGGTGTATTAAATCTTGATGTGGCAACAGAAGTGGAGCGCCATCCATTGCCCAGCTCGGCCGGTGGTCAGCAAGTCCGGCGGCAAACAAATGAGTCCTGTTCATCGTATGCAACAGTTGAGTTGACCATGTTTATAGGGCGGTTGGCAGGTGAACACCTTATCATATGAATAAATATGAGATTGACGAGGCATGCTGGATCAACATGTTCTATCATTGGAGAAAAATACAGCACTCCCATCAACAACAACAATAAAAATTTAATATATCAACTATTTGAAATCAGATATATTGATTCTTGTACTAAGAAAATATGAGATTGACAAGGCATGCTAAGTCGATATGTCATACACTTAAGTCGATATGTGAACTGTTTCCTACACCTCCAATAAGCGTGTTTCAACACCATGACACTGTTGCTCTGATCACATCATCACGTATCCTCTAATTAATTGTTGTTCCAAAAACAATTAATGTTCTCCATACTCTATAGTGCGTATTAATGACAAAGCACCATTCTTAACATTGTCTAAACTTCAAACTATTTAACTACAAAAATCTATGGTATCTTATCAAAACAAGACATTCCTCATTGGCCAAAGATGTAAGAGGCTACGATCAAAAGAAAAACTATTTTTCTAGTCCATGTCTTAACAAAAAAATCTTTTCTTTTCCAAAAAAGAAAACTAAACTACTTTGTCTAATATAGTGAATGCTATGCTCACCGAGGCAAAAATATGGATTCATGTTGGAGGGTCAGCGATCCCTCTATGGTTGAGAAGTTTTAGCATGATAAGCTAACCGGTGAGCATATCGATTAGCTTCCGTCTTCACATGAGAGATTTTACATGTAACAACCCAGTTTAGTCCCACTTTGGAATGAGCAAGAACTTGATAAGAGCTTAATGAGTCTACTACGATTAATTTAATTTGGCTTCGGAATTTTAGGCTAGTGATTCAAGATCAATAAGTTACTGGGTTAGTTATCATATCAGGTCGGGTTGTGATTGATAAAATCAGAGTCGACCTAGCATTAACCATAAGGAGGTACTCGAGTAGGAAAAGACTACCCATAGATGGAACGAAATAAGCTTCACGTGCAACATACTAGAGTTTTACTTTAAAATATGCTACGTCCTTGACGAGGACGTCATGTCCTAAGGAAGATAATACCCTAATTTAAGTTGGCAATAACTTGAATTGGATTCTAAGGATTTAGTGGATCTACTTCAAGTAACCTGTGCTTAACCATTTTAGGCCAATGGTTCAAGCTTACTAAATTATTGGGTTAGTTATCTCATTTAGTTAGGTGATGATATTACTAGCTTGAAACTTGTCAAAATAGTTATATATATTGTGAATATGATTAATGCGACGCCAAGGGGGAGTTTCCTCCTTGTTCAGAATTTTGACTAGCTCAACATTCTCAGTTTCAGTTTCCAACTTCTAGTTTCCTTCTTGTATCACAGTGAGAACACCTTCTTGAATGGCTAGAACCTCATTGTATTTGATGCCTCCTTTGAAGATGAATTTGCTTCTTGCCATCCTACACCTTCTTTCACTTGAGGAAATCTCCACCCTTAAACAGGTCACTGGCACCATGTGTATTAAGTTTAAACCAGTCACTATTAAGTTTAGCCCATTGCACTAGAACGTAACATGTTACATCTTTTGTTCCTTGGTAATCTTGCAGGAGATTATAGTGCATCACTAACCCCATCTTGGCAAAAAAATATTCATTCATGAGATAAATCTTCAATGCAGAATAATTGGACCAATGGGTTTTTAAGAAAGGATCTTGGTTTGCTATAAAATAAACAAAAAGAGAGAAGAAAAGCACTAAAGACATATCATAATATTTATAAATTCAGTAATATAAGATAAATTTCAAACGATACATTACTCAATAGAACATCCATTTAACACTAAAACTAACCTCAGTGCTGAATCTTCATATGCATCATTTACCTCTCCAATATAAATCTCGAAATCATTTAATGTGGAAGCATCATTAATTGCGATAAGGCTTCAATCAATCATAATTGAAATCAGATAACTCGAACTCTTGATTCTCTTTCTTCTCCCTCTACACCCAGTAAGTCAGAGAATCATTTCCTTCCAAAGCACCAAAGAGAATTTCTCTATCAACTCTAAACAATCATATGTTACCATCAGAAGGACACTAGGCCTATTATGCCTTTCAGAAGTATTAGAATTTTGAGGCATTACAAATTTCAGCCAAAATTTGCATGAGATGATCAGCAACAAGCCTCCTTTCAATAATACAACTCAATGTTCTCCTGTATAATGGCCGCTGCCCTTTTGTCAAACTCCCATGATCCAGGCACTAATCCTTTTGCATCAGCTTAAGGTGACAGAAAAAGTCTCTTCTTAAATGCTCAACTTGCTTGCCATGTCTAAAAACCTTGTCATACTTTAGAGGAAACTTCATTGGGAAGGGGGACAAAGAACTCCACGCTCGAGCAGAGGGCTCGAGATGACTCCCTCTACCATAGCTTTCTTCTCCATCTCTGTAATTATCCGAGAAAGATCCTGTGACATTATTCTAATGACCTTAAAGGGGTTCAGAGAACATATGAATCCACCTTGTCCTGAAAACATATGGAAGGCCCATGTCTCTCCTCCAACGTGCCATCTTATCGACAGGAATCCTCCTGTCCTTAAACATCATCAGGAGTCTTGTAACATGCTTGGCCACCTTCTTTGAGTGATATTCCAAAGGCCTAATCTCTTCTTCTATGAGATCCTCAGCTTGCACTGTGAGTCCACACCAGACAACTCCCTTCTTATCTCTACAGAGCTCAAACAGATTAGGCAATTTTACTTGTACAGGTTCCTTCTTCAACCGCTCCATTGGTGATCAACATCTCCGAAATGATTTCCAGCACTCCGTGGCAATTCCGGATTCGTGCACCCTCTTCTTATTGCACCAATCCTGCCGGAGATTATCTGACTCTTTCAATCAACACTGTTCAATTTATAATATTATCATTGAAAGCAACGCAGCCCTCTGTGGATCACTGTGAGTCTCAGAACACCAAAAGCACAGCAGCTTGACGTATATTGGTTGATCAATGTGAGCAGAAAAAAGAAGATTTTTTTTCACGAAACAAGAACACGAGCTCGGATGAACGCAATAAGAGATAGGAAGTGAGAGAAGCCCCCGGACTAAAATCGTGTCGAATTAAATCGCTAGAATAACTATCTAAATCAATCGACCGAAATGATGCTCGATATAATGTGCGAATGAAATTCTTTCTAGAGAAGCTAAAACGGGACGGCCACTAACCCAATCCACCGGTTTCCGACGGATTCAAGATCAGAGATACAAACCCTACTGTCTGTAGCTTCATCGGCCATCAAAGTGCGTGCGCGAGAGATAGGGAGAGGGAAAAGAGACGTCACCTGACTTGACAGACCACAACGCCTGATCCGCGTTGTCCGTCAGCTGTGCCTCGTTCCGAAGTCATCCCTCCTCTGCGCCAGGCTGAGTCCGAGCGCCTGGAGGAGCTCGCCGAGCAGACCAACTGGCGCCGGTTTCCTGGTCAGCCTCGCCCGACGAACGAACTCAGGAAACGGCGGAGGGCAAAACAACGCCTGACAGCGTGCTGTCAACTTCTTATCATAATTAACATTAATATATTTAATTATATATATATATATATACTACAATAAACTGTATATATATATATATATATATATATATATATATATATATATATATATATATATATATATATATGATGTATATGGGAATCATCTTAATCAATAGCTAATTTTGACTGCTTTTCCAATGTAAACTTTATTATCTCTGTTTTGGTACTACGAGAAATTCCACAGAGGAGATGATCCGTCGATGTCGTCGTCATGGACGCCGCCGCCGCCTCTTACCCAGAAATCCTCCTCCTCTTCCTCAATGCTCCACCTCATGCCGCCCGCGCTGAATTCGGTGAACTCCGGCAACCACTCCCCGCAAGCAGCAGACCCGGCGGCGTCCCCGACCCGAAGCTTCCCTCCCCTGGGCGCACCACCTTCTCGCGGCCTTCCTCCTCCCGCTTCGGCCCTTCGCGGGCCGCGTACCGCGTTGCTGCATCCCGTATCTCGTACCGGTTCATCTTGTCCGCCGAGCGCGGCACGTCCGGCGGATGGCCCAGGAAGTTGCGCGCGGAGGCTGTACACGGCCGTGTCGTGGGCGCGGGCGGCCATCTCTGGCGTCGGGTACGAGCCGAGCCACAGCCGGGCCCGGCTGCTGGGGAGCCTCACCTCCGCCACCCACGTGCCCCACTTCCTCCTCCGGACCCAGTTGTACCTCGGCGCCGCAGCCGCCGCCTGCCACCTGCGTGACAGTGGCGAAGGCGATCGAAGAGGGTGCGGAAGACGATTGGAGGAGCTCGGGAGACGGCCGCGGGTGTAAATGGCGGTGGCGGGGTGTCGACCACCGGACGTCCGCCGGATTGCATGGGGAGGCGTCACGTTCGCGTAGAGTCGGAAAGAGATGGGCCAGCTTTCGTTGAATCAAACGCTACATGATGCCAATTGCCGAGAACAGTAACCAGATGAACAAAAATATGTATTCAAGATTAATCTCAGGCAAGTTATAATTCGAAAAGCAATACAAACATATATTCTATAATCTTGTCTAAACATCATCTGTAATCATACCATTATGACTTCAAAATCTAGACTTGGATCGTATGACAAAAAGTAATAGTGTGTTCCTCTGTTTCAAGTGTAGTCATTCGAAAGGCCTCTTGAGTCCCACGAAATCCATGGTGTCAACGCACTGAATCCTTCCCCTGTAACCATTCAATAGCCTGAGAAGATCGGTGACTCTCTCTTTGGTTGCCTCACCGCACCCGACCTGCAAGAGAAGTAGGAGCTTGTGAAAGGTCCCCGCTTGAAGAGCATCAAGCAAACACCTCTCCCTCCCTCCTCCTTTGTGATCCTTGCAGAGCTTCCACAGGGCTGACACCACGAACTCGGTGGCCATGTCTGACACGCGAAACATCTTCTTCGCTAGCACCGGCACCGTCAGGGCGTGGCCGCAGGCATTTTCTCTACCGCGCTCGCAGCTTAGCAGCCCGTCGAGCACAGCCAATGCCTTCTCGCACATGCTCTTCTCGTCGTCGACGAGGATCTCCACGAGCACAGGGACCAATCCCAGATCGACGATTCTCGTCGCAGTCTTCTCGTCGGAGTTAACCATGTAGAAGATGGAGACGAGAGACGCCTTCATGGCGCGGGAGGAGATGGGCCTTTTGACCAGCTTGACCAGGGCTTCTCCCATCCCCTTGGTCGCGGCGATGGCGTCCGCTCGTGCCCCGCCGGACGCGAGGAGCTCCTTGACCGTCAACGCCGCGTGCAGCCTTGCGGCCACATCTCCGCACCTGAGGACCGAGACCAAGCGTTTCAGGGACTCGGGCGAGGAGCCGATGCAAGCAGCAGCTTCCTCGTCGAGCGGCAGCAGCATCGCCATTGCCGCCAACACTTCCTCCAGAATCCGCACCACCGCGACGTCGGAAGACGCACGGGCAAAGGCGACGAACGTGGCGGCAAGCACCCGGGTCATGCCATCGAACGCCAAGCGCCGCCGGTTCCGGTCGCTCTCCTTGGCCCAGTTCGTGACCTTGGCCACCGACCGCGCGCACGCGGCGACGTCGCCTTGCCGGCTGGCAGTGGCGATCTCGGACAGGACGTCCATGACCTCGGCTCTGTTCACAGGTGCCGTGGGCGTGGGAATCCTCTCGAACCCGTAGGGCCGGTGGGCGACGCACCAGTCCTGTATCATCTTCCTTATGGAGTGGTTGGGGATGAGGTCCTGGTGCTGCAGCTGCTGGCCGGTGACGGGGCACGACGTGTTCCCAAGCTCCTGCCACGTCTCGATGCTCTGCCGGTCGTAGGTGATCCCAGTGGACGCCGTCACCGGGTCCCTCATCAGGTCCAGCGATATCGGGCACCGGAAGTGCGTCGGAATCGCGACATCCAAGGCTAGATTAGTCTTCAAGTTGGACTCACGACTTCTCCGAGGTGACGCCATGAACAAGCTTAGTTTCGCGGCTGCAGCAAGAAGAAGATCGAGAGAAGGGAAGGGAAGGGAATGGGCGAGTCTTATAAGCGCAGACCGTGATGGCGAAGGGATGAATCGTTCAAAGAGTGAGCGGTGGGAAGAGGTTTGGAAGGGTTTTGGGGAGTCGAAGCTCTTCATTTGAATGTTGACCATTCAATGCTTACCCGCGGGGAGGAAACGGTAAGAGAGAGAGAGAGAGAGAGAGAACGGGAAGATGGGAAGGAGGAGTTGGAAGTATGACCGAGTCTGTACACGTACAGAGCTGCACCATCTAAAGTGGAAAACGTCGGGAGATGGACAAGAAAGCCAACAAGGAATCCAACACTGCCATGGCCGATCTTTCTCTTTGTTTCCATTGTGTATTGTGTGGTTACTGTATATTGACCGACTGACTCATCCTCTCCGTTGCCATTCATGCTGAATATATATCATGTCGCATTGCAACATAGGTTTGATAAGCTTGAAAAAAGAGATGAAAAAAAAGAAAATTCATAGTAAGTAGAGATAGAGATTCTTCTTATTGACTTCTTTAAAATTATTCCTTTTTTTGAGAGGAATTTTCCTTTACGATGAGGATAAAAAAGATGCCCCGAGGAGAATAAGATTCTCCTCGTTGACCTTCACAAAGGAAAAAAGAAAATTTGAATTTTTTATACCAATAATAAAGTAAAAAAGGAAAGATCCCCTCTATTATAGGACAATGATTCTTAATTGTGGAAAATATACTTGACATCATCTTTGAAGTATACTCAATTATAGTCAATGCGTTGGAGGAATCAATCTTTGGACATCGAGTTAGGTTAATATGATTTGATCATCATCTTGCATCCCAACTATGGCGTCTATACGATATAATGGAACCAAGATGAACATATATCAGCATGTAATTGGTGCTACACGTTCTTCTTCCTCATTAGGAGAAATACTATATCTAGTTTTGATCTTTTGATTCAACAAATTAGTTTGACTGGGACGAAGTCAACGTGTGTACAGAATCAAATGGTGTGCTCGGTCACGGTCTTGTTCTTCGTCTTCTATCGCATCCTCGTGACAATTGCAGTCATTTATTGCCACTCCTTTCACAGGTTAAAAGTATGAAGATGGAAGACATAGAACGAACCGGGTTCTTTTGCGTGGCAATTGCTTGGTCTTGTGTGCTTTGGACGTGTGAAGTATATCCAAAGGCAAAGGCACAAAGACTTGACACTCCATCAAATTTGATGAGACTGCAGATGGGATTTTGGGAATATTATGGTCGTGCTTAGCCTTTTAAGCCGTCAACGTCGAAGCTAATCGATGATTAATCGCATTACACGTCGAGATATGACAAAAAGAGTGGCCGTGTAGCATAGTTATCCTTCAACATCGATGACCGACGCAACGTTTTGTACTTCGACGTTCATGCGTTTCCATGATCTCCTCGTTTTCTTTCCTCTTCTTCATCGTGTTTTGTACTTTGACAAAGGAGGCACGTCTTTCAGGTGCTGCAGATAGTGAGAGAATCGTCACCGGTAATTCCAGCAGTGGGAATTCATGCGTCTGCACCAAATGCGTTTGAGTTGAGGCTCTCGGCTCTCTAGAAGCTGACCAAAAGCACCAACCTCCCAAGAATGGTGGAGGGAAAGGGAGGAGAAATGGAGGTGCCTCGTCTCCATCTCACTGCACCATTAATCGTTCATTCGCCCAGGAAGATGGACTAATCGTTCCTCGATGGAGACGCGAAGAGACCGAGCTAGCAGCTTTCGAAGCCGTGCATCAGGTGGCGGAGGAGATCATGATTCCTTGTTCTGGTCGAGGAAGAAAGATGAGCTCTACCACATGCAGTAGTAGGGAGTCTAAAGCAACACAAAAGACGATGCATGAAGACTGCCATCCATGTCTCCCCTGCAAATGCTAGGCGGAACCTTTTCCTAAGACTAATAATTCCTTCAAACATGTCACTTTTATGTCATTTTATTTCTGATCAATCAAAACTCCTCCATGCATTCAGTTAATTCGGATATAATTACATGATAATTGGATATATCATATTAACATAATATGAAATACGTATATTTCTTGTCAAAACACTCATTAGACTAATTACATATATTATCTTTGTAATTAGTTATTTTAATATTCTGATATTTATACTTTCAAAAGTTACATTATAATTTATGAGGGTAATAATTACGATAAGACTTGCGTGACACCTACTGACGCCCCGCGCCCCTGTTGGGCTGACACCGCGTGACCGACACGGGTCGTAACGCCAACCGAGACCCATTAACGACCGCTCAGGTTCGACTCCGCACGCTATGCCAATAGCGATGTCAGACGTCATCAGAAGGTACGATCCTACCCCCTGCGGGCAGACACATCAGGTAATACCGAATAAATACCCTTGCCTTCTAAACGGGAAAAGGAGAGGAGGACACCAACATAGATAACAACCCCCCTACGATTATTCACTTACTTGATCGTCGGAGGGGTCGGGTCGAGCTCTCCCGTCCCAACCTGTGTGCAGGGATGAAGGCGAGGCGCTTCTCTCCGGGCGCGTTGGCAAGGAACCCCCTCCCGAAGGAATTGGCGACCCGTCATCCGAACCCGAACCAAGTCGCGTCAGCCCTGAGCCCACCGCTAAAATGTTGTTTACACTAACAATAATCTTGTTTCTTCTCACGTCATCAACTGTGTAATAAAAATACTGTACATTTTCTGTTCGGTAATAAATCGAAGTGATATAGAATTAGCATGATAAATCTTATGATATTTTTATCAATAAAGTGCATCATATGAGAATCAATAATATTAAATATTTCACATGAGAATTTTAATGTAACTTGTGATAATATAGGAGATAATTAATTATAAAAAAATTATAATTAACCTTATGACGTCACGGAGAGCGAATCCAACTCCGGCCTGTGATTGGCACTGACACGCTGTTCCCTGGTGGGTCCCACGGGTACTCTAAATCATTCGACATTTGCTTGCTCGTATCGTCTCTCTGGATGTAATAACTCCACGTCGATACAACTACACGTTTCGACTCCGAAACGTATGACGTGGATGATTTCGGTGAACGGACATTTGCCTGCTCGTCTCCTCACGTGCGAAGCACGTGTAGAATCGAACTATCCGTTGCGGAAGAGACCGGAAGAGGAGATTAAATATAAGACGGGTGACAGGCGACCGATCGAGATCGGACGGCTCTGCAGCCGTCTGACTCACGGCAACGTGGGTGGGGCCCCTCAACGGCTACTTTTTGTTTCCGTCGACGTGGAGGCGCCAAAACAAAAGAAGCCACGTACGTACAGCGAAGCAATTAATCTCCTTCCACTGTCCTCAGCACCTCCTCGCAGATGACAATTACGTCTCCTCCTCTTTTGATTGGTGGATGTGTATATAATGTTTGATTATAGGTTGGTGTATCATATTGAATCGGATGAATTTATACATCTGAAATATTAATTTGATGATAATGATTTTAATAGGATTTATAAATATTCACGACGTGATGATAATTTTTGTTTAGAAATTTCAATTCTTGCGACGATCACATTATCAAATAAGAGACATTAATTGACTGCAGATTAAAATTATCACTTGGTTCACTTTGATGTGGAGACATTAAATGGCCAAATTGCATGCCACAAGAGACACTTATTTCTCTTTTTACTACAACATCGAGGAAATATTCCAATCTACTCCAATTGCTAATATTATTGAATACCAATCCATGTGCATGAAAATAATAATACTAATAATAATAATAATGGGTGAGTTTTTAAATAAAATTATTTTTTAAAAACTATCGATTAGTGTTTTGATTTTCATATATTTTTATATATTTTTAAAAAATAATGATATTATCGTTATCTTCACTCAATAGTGACAACTTATGTCTCGTTGGCCTCTGTCGAATTTACCCTACATATTTTATTTTTATTATTCTCATTTACAACACAGATGATCATTGATCTCAATTGACCTAACTCTCGTATCGTGTATCTTGTCTATCTTATCTTTGTTTGTAACTCTTCTACGTTGTAAATATGTAAGGTAAATTAAACGGGATAAAGATGAGGAGAGTTACGATGGTAGGAGCCAATAACCAGGCGATGGTGCATCGTAAAGATAATGGCAAATTCGATGAAGACAAGAAAAAAAAATTTAACGAAATTTTTAGAAATTAAGGTTTTTTTTCAAAAATTCGACCAATAATAATAATAATATCAATCGATGTTGAATAAAATCACAAAGTCTCCAATGAAAAGGAAGCCTTGTCCTTAGCTTTCCACTCCCATACCTTTCTTTACTCCTCTCCCAAGAAACATAACAGAAAGGAGAAGAGCAGAGAAGCAAACTCGAGGAAGAGAAAGAAGAAATGGCTTCTTCTTCTTCGTTCTTCTTCGTCCTCTTCTTCTTGTTGGTTTCGGCTCTGTTCCTTGAGACCACTGCTCTTCCGGAGCTACCCAACCTGACCACTCTCTCTTTCGAGGAAGGCTACACGCAGCTCTTCGGAGACTCCAACCTCATGCTTCACCGCGATGGCATGGCTGTCCACCTCTCCCTCGACCAGCGAACTGGTGCTTCCCCTCCCCTTCTCTCGGTCTCTGCTTCCTTCCTTCTTTCTACTAATGGGATGCCAGTGCTGAATCGTGTGTGACCCTTTCAGGCGCTGGATTTGCGTCGCAGGACCTCTATCTCCATGGAGTCTTCAGTGCCTCCATCAAACTGCCCTCAGATTACGCTGCCGGAGTCGTCGTCGCCTTCTATGTACGCCTCTACTCTCCCCAGCTTTCCCCCACACTCGATTGGTCGTAGCGAGTTCATGCTCCTTTTGATGGCAATGCAGATGTCGAACGGAGATGTATTCGAGAAGACGCACGACGAATTGGACTTTGAGTTCTTGGGGAACATAAGAGGCCGGGAGTGGAGGGTTCAGACCAACGTTTACGGGAACGGCAGCACGGCCGTCGGAAGGGAAGAGCGGTACGGGCTCTGGTTCGATCCCACAGAGGACTACCACCGCTACTCCATCCTGTGGAGCAACCGGAGGATCATGTAAGGCCAAGTCAATGTAGATGATTCAAGTTTGCAGCAATCTTGAAATTATAGGATCCATAATCTGATGCTGTCAAGTTCTCTTCTTTGAGCAGATTTTACATCGACAACATTCCCATCAGGGAGGTGGTGAGGAGCCAAGCCATGGGTGGGGACTTCCCTTCCAAGCCCATGTCCCTCTACGCCACAATCTGGGACGGCTCCAACTGGGCCACCTCCGGCGGCCGCTACAAGGTCAACTACAAATTCGCCCCTTACGTTGCAGAATTCGCCGACCTTGTCCTCCACGGCTGCGCCGTCGATCCCAGTGATCGTAGAAGAGCCTGCCAGGCATCTGATGCTGAACTCTATGATGCCATCACAATGTCTGCCGATCAAAGAACAACCATGGAGACGTTACGCAAGAAGCACATGACCTACTCTTACTGTCATGACCGCATTCGTTACCCAGCACCACCACCAGAGTGTGTTCTTGGTCCTGAAGCCGAGTCATTCCTTGCATCAGGCGAAGCAAAGTTCAATTATCGTCGTCGCCGGAGTAAGCATTACGGCCGGAGCTCAGTAGACGCAGTCCTTCTAGCCTAATGGATTGAATACCGAATAAGTTCACGTAGCTTAGAGGGATTTTTTTTGTGCGTATCATGCAATTTGAGTGGTGTATAGCAAATTTGTTTGAGGTATTGATGTCAGGTGTAATCCACATTGTTTAGGTGATATCAAAGTGTTCTTCCAATCTTTTCTGTTTCCTTTCTCCTTGCACAGTAGTGTCTGAGTCTTTATGCTTGGCATTCAAGTGGGAGGTTTTCTCATGTTTCTTGTGAGAAACATGAGAATTGAATCTGCCTTCCATGTCCCTTTAGGCAGATGGGGTCTCAGAGAAGGGGGCAAAGATGATGAAGGTGATCTGGATTCATTGTCTCCCACCATCAATGAGAAGGCACCTTCTGTGAACTCTGGCCCAGGGAATAAAGGCAGCTCTGATACATGACTTCATCAGAGAAGAGGAGAGTAGGCAACAAGACAAACTACCAATCATGACAACAGTTTTAGGAATTTATGGAGCTAATAATGCTTGGCACAAAAGGTTGCTCAAGTGATCTACTCATGACAGGGCTGGTTAACCTTGCAGCATCTTCCTCCAACATGATCTTTGACAGACACACAAAGGATTACTGTGTGCAGTACAGGAAGCACTTGGAAAGATGTTGCAAGGGAGTTGGGAGTTGTTCATAAGTAGTAGAATGTTATTGCACACATCTGAATTGATGAGGTCCAGCATCAAACAGCATGAGATAGCCTGGAGAAAAAATGATGCTGCTGCAGACACAGCTAATTGAGGAGTTTCAGACACCTCAGAAGAATCCTTCCAATGGAACACATTTGCAACTTTGTCCAGGACACTTTTTATCTTCTACTTCTAACTACTAATCTTTCATTCACTAGTTCCTCAAGGTGCATCATAAAAGCTGTTCTTGTGATTCAAGTTCCTCTCTCCATTGCTTGTTTGATGAAGCATAATCCTATATTAGAGCAGGTTAAGAATATCATACAAGACAAGGATAATAATCTTATATCAGTGGTCCATCTGGTTATGAGCTATTAGTCTAAGATCAAATAAATTAGAAGAAAAAGAAATCACGATGAAAATATATATATATATATATATATATATATATATATATATATATATATATATTAAACTTCTCAAAAAAAATTTTCTTTGAATAATTCTTAGACTTAACTCTATAGGCTTGAATACTTGAGATTTGGATGAATTTATACATGTAGACGACACATATTTATAAATATGAAATGCAAGAGCCCTTGATCTCTATAGTTTTATCTAATATTATTTAAAAAAGATAATTTATCATTTTAAAATTTTTAAAAATATATTTTAACTTTTAAAATAAAAATATTTATTCCTAAAATTTTATCTAATCTTATTAAATAAAAATAAAAATATTCATTTATGATCTTTCAAAATATACTTTTTGCAGTGGTGACTATTGACTTATATTAGAGCATTCTGGGCCGGTTCACTTTCTTCTTGAACCGGAAACACGTGCATAAAACGCCAAGAAAACGGGAAAGGTTAACGTGGTTATCCGTGAACGGGACCCGCGGGGTCCGCACTGCGTTCGCCAGTTACGTAAAAGGTCGACAAGTTGTCGATGCCTGACGAGTAGAAATGATTTCCTCATTGAAGCTCACCTCGTCCGTCGGATCGCTTTTTCATCACTGATGCCGGCTCATGTTACACGTGGAAGTCGTGGCTTTCGTCGTGAAGCGGTTCGTATTTTAAACAACGCGGACTTGGTCACCCCTGAGACGCGTCAGGTTTGATGTCACCACAGCGAGTGTGTTATACGTCCGCTAACGAACCATGCCTCGAGGTTCCAAGAGATAACACAGAGAGAGAGAGAGAGAGAGAGAGAGAGAGAGAGAGAGAAGAAGACGAAGTGAGAGCGGCCACAGTGGGAAAGGAAGCGTCCGCTGCAAGCTACCTTCATTCCTCTTCGCTCCCCTCGCAAAACTCTAGACGACGCCTCTCCCACCGCCCATCCAGATCTCAGCTGTTTCCATCGCATCTCTCGGTTGGATTCTCGAGCCATTTCTGCTCCAGTCGCCTCCGATCCAAAATCTACTTTCGATCCGTTCATCTCTCTATTCTATTTCGTGTTTATCGCGTGAACTTCGTGTATAGATCTCGTTCTTTTAGCTGCATTGCCTCTGATTCCTGTCTCTGATCTTTTCGATCTTAGGACCGGAGTTTGCATCTGATTCCTTCTTTTTCTTGTTTGTTTTGGTGATTTTTTGATCGATTTTATAGCGATTTCGTGGTGGGAGGGTTTGGATCTGGGGGTTATGCAGCTGAATTGAAGGCCCTAGTGATGGCGGCGGCGTCGGGCAGTCCTGCGGTGGTGCAGGAGACAGTGCAGTTCCCGGTGGTGGGCGGCGGCGGGGGCGAGGCGCCGCGGCAGTGGTACGTGGACGAGAGGGATGGATTTATCTCGTGGCTGAGGGGGGAATTCGCGGCGGCAAATGCTATTATCGATCTGTTGATCAATCACCTCAGGGTTGCTGGCGAGCCAGGAGAATACGACCACGTGGCTGGATGCATCCACCAACGGCGATTTCACTGGACGCCCATCCTCCACCTGCAACAGTACTTCCCGGTGGCTGATGTCAACTATGCGCTGCAGCAGGTGGAGTGGAGGCAGCGGCAGCAGACGCCGCAGAGGCATTCCTACCGCCGGAAGGAGAAGGACGGTAGAAAGTCTGGATTTGGACACACTTATGTGCATCGATCCGATGGGGTTCAAGAGAGCCATGGATCGCCTGCTTCTGGTATGACTGTATCTGACGTTGCAAACGTCGAAAATCAGGGCTGTAATATGGACACATACAAGGATGCGAACCAGAAGAGTGATGCCCAGATGTCACAGGCGAAGGATTCACTTGCTCAAGTTGAGAATGATGGTGAGCGTTGGGTTCATTTTCTAGAGTCTATTGCACTACACCATATCCTGTCTTTTGACTTTATGATATGATTTGTAGTTGTTCCACGGCACGGAAAACAAAGAATTTACATTAATCAGCAAGCAAATTCATTACTGAAGTGAGAGATTCTGTTGAGGCATAAACCCAACTTATCATAATTAGTTTATGCGCAACATATAAGACAATGCAGCAAATGTGATCTTATCTAACCCTTATTTTCCATGTCCTAGATTGATCAGATCTAACACGATTGAGTTTTCCTGTAATAACATAAGTTCTCATCTGAATGTTCCTGGCTTCCTATCTGTACCTGCATAAAAGAATCATTACATGCTAAAGAATATTTTATTCTCCATGTAGAAATGAAGTTAGCTACAAGCGTACTTTATCTGTACTCTGTAGTATTCTATGGCACTATCTAATATTCTCAGTTTTCTCAAATTAAATACATTCAGGAATCTGCACTGTACCTAGCTCCAAGGCAAATTGCAGCCTAAAGGATGGAGACAACTCAGCTGAGACCAAGGAGACCAAGTGTATGAATTTGGAACCTGCTTTTGTGAGTGATAGTCAAGCTTTAGGTTGTAGAGGTGTGCTTTTACTCTCTGGTCATAGCTTACGTTTACTTCAATTACAGAAAACAAGAACTGTAGCTTTGCAGGCATGTCTCTAGATTTTTAACATTTGTTCCAGGGTATAAGTTTAATATACTCCATCTCATGCATTTTGATTAGAAAAAAACATGTTGGGTGTGCTGGAGTATTTTTTGCGCTATGACCAATTATAGATATTGCAGAGACTATTAAATTGCATGCTAATAATGGCTAGGTTGATTTGTTTTATGTTGAGTTTAAAAGAGGCTTTCAGGTTTTATTTCCTTACTCTTAACATATTCTGGAGTCTTATTAGAGTGGTTATATATTAATCTGCATCATGTTCTTAAAATACCATATTAGATGCTTATTTGCCCTTGTATAGTCTTATCGTGAGACATTGAATAGTCTCGGTCCTCTTGTTTTCTCGATATATTTTTTTAAAATAATCAACATCAAACTAAATTTATCCTAATTTTCATCTAGGAAACTGATCATCTAACATAAGCAACTTAATTATAAGCAGTGGCTGACAAATGAAGAAAAGGTTTAAATTGTTGCTTGTGTCACATCATTTTCTTCTATGTTGGTCGATTTTTCCTTTTAACTACCACTTGGTTGAGAATACTAGATCATCAGAATATTTCCTTTCTGTTTCACTCTTCTATTAATCTGCTGTTATTATCAGCATAAAATGGTGATCAGACTTGATCAACGTTTGATTGGTTTTGAATGATGGTGACAGTTTTCAACAATCCCCATGAATTTTGGGCATTTTTAAGGTCTTCTAGATATTTCAAGAACCTGATCCTGTTCCAATGTCGATCAGGTTGATCCTGTTAGATTGTGAGCCTAGTCTAATCAGAAGATGCTAATCGGTCCTGGGAATCTTGGTCCAGAGCAATAAGCACACTACAACCTAGTGTAAAGGGATACCTCAGTTTGTGTTGAACACACATTATTTCAATTTGTTGTTGTTATTTATAGCATTCATTAAATTAAGTTTCAATCCAATTTGTTCTTTTTCTTTTTGCATCCTTTTTTATGACTAGCAATTGTTTTGCCAAAGATGGTGCAGATTTGACTTCAACAAAAGACGGAAACCGGAAAGTCATTTCTATACCAAAAGAATTTTTGGCCAAAGAAATAAGTGATGGCATGATGGTATGCTCTTGTACACGAAAAGCCAAATTTTTCTGTAATTATATGCAAATTATCACAACCTGGCTATTAAGCCACAAAAAACTTCGTAGGTTAATGTTGTTGAAGGACTCAAACTTTATGAGGATTTACTAGATAGCTCAGAGATTTCCAGACTTGTTTCATTAGCTAATGAAATGAGGGCTGCTGGCCACAGAGGAGAACTTCCAGGTAAGCTAACCAATTCCCCAGTTGCTTCTCTCTTGCAGGATAAGATGATAATTGTCTTCTTGGATTTGTTTATGTTATTATTTTTATATCTTAATTTAGGATTTGTTTACGATTTATTCTTTTATATAATGATAAAGATCTCGAAACATAGCATAAAACTAATCCTATGTATTTTTTTTCTGTATTATATTCTTGTAATTTCTGATTGAAGGGATTGGTTTTTTGTTTTCCTATGATTTGTTGCAGTCAACCTGAATTTATTTTGTGGAACTGGGCTTTTAATATAAAATTAGACAGATGCTGCAGAATTTGTTTCACTCTGTTTTTCACTAAGAATAAAAGTGATGCTATTATTAAGTCAACATTTTTTTTCTTCTCAGCATATTTAATTCTAAATAATGGATTTGATGAATGATGCCAACTTAATTGTTGCTTCAATATTGTATAATTTTACTCATTTAAGATTGCCTAGCAAGATTCTACAGCCAGATTAGGTGAACTGGCAATTATCAGTGAGAAAAAAAAAAGCACGGTTCAATACAAATGAACTCCTGACATATTTATGTATATGGTAGGCTTGCAGATCTAAGGTTTTCACAGATATTTTTGTGACAGTAATTTGAGAAATGATTAGTAATAATCTTGTACAATTTGACTCTATTTAGAAAGAGAGAGATTGCATCACAGTTCCCTGTGTCTTAAGTACAAGTATACTGCTGTATCCTCCCATCATGGAAGTTTTCTGATGGTAGATGAGGCATGTAAGGTTAAAATCCATATGCAAGCACTTAAATAAGAATTGTTGCAATTGGTAATATCTTAAATTAGGAATTCCTAATTTTTTCAATGGTTCATTATTATCTGTCTTCTGACTGTTTAATATTATATTATTTTTCTTGTTACTTTTCTTTTGTGCAGTTGGTTTTATATAGTTGCCCCATTTAGAATGAAACTTTTGATGAAGTATGGTACAGATATTCATCTCTTTTTCAACAAATCACTTTTTGAATTGAAACCAATTTCTGTTAGCTCCTAAATTTACATGCTTGGAACAATGAAAACCAGGGCAAACACTTGTACTGCTGAAAAGACCTATGAAAGGACATGGAAGAGAAATGATTCAGTATGGCATTCCCATCACTGACGGACCTGCAGAAGATACAAATACAAGTCCGACCTCTGGAGGTGAGCTCTGCCTTTATGACTAAAAATATCTAGTGTCTGATTCTTTTTCTTAAATGTACAATCTTGTTTACCTTAAATGCAATACTTTCAGAGAGAAAGGTAGGGGCCATTCCTAGCTTCCTGCAGGATGTTCTCGATCGTGTGGTCCAGCTGCAAGTTTTGCCTATAAAACCTGATTTTTGTATTATCGACTTCTTTAGTGAGGTAAGAAGTTGCTATTGGCATTTGTGTGATGCTCTGGGAACTTTTGAGTATGAGCTGACATTTGTCTTTATGTAAGGGGGATCATTCACAACCTCATACATGGCCACCTTGGTATGGTAGGCCGGTTTGTAACTTATTACTGACAGAGTGTGATATCGTATATGGCCGGACAGTAGGATCAGATCATAGGGGAGACTACAATGGTTCTCTGAAGCTTTCTGTCAATGCAGGGTATGCTTTTTATTAACAAAAAGAATATTTCCTTTAAATAATATTTTCTTTAAGTTAATTAAACTATGCATACATTTTTTCACTTTAGGTATATGAAGTCTTGTTGAGTATAAGAACCAGAACATTACTGTATCAGGTTATTTCTGATGTAGGAAAGAAGGACGAGTGAAAAAAAACTTTAGTATATCATGATCGGTGATCTTAATTAGCAGGAACTTTTTTGCCCATTCTAGCAGACATTGAAAATTTTTGCCGAAGACACTAGTATTTCTAGTCAGACAGAATCTAGTCATAGCAGTGAGCACACAATAGAACAGAATGGGTTTGATTTTTTTAAGGTAAGTTGGTCTCCATTACATGCAGCCTTCAGTTTTTCTGTTCAATTAAATAAATATTTTGTTAAAGATTGCACATTTTGGTTATTCTTTTCATAGATATAAGCAAGCAAAGAAACTTGTTCTCTTTCTAAGGCTGCAAAGAATAATTAATGTCATAGGTGGTTGGTAGTTTTTGGAAGCAGGAACTAGGATTAGGATTTCAATGACCATTATCATGAGTTATAAACCAGTAGATAGCTAATATGGGAACATGTTTAAGAATTTCTCTCTGTAGTAATATGAGAGAACAAAAAATGAAAGTGATATTACAAGATGAAGATCCTTTTCTCAAATTACCGTAAATATTATATAAACTGATACTATTGTGGCGCTTGACATTTGCTCACCTTGAGATTGAATTGCAATTAAAAGGATTGAATGAGAAGTTGAAACACAATAAAAGGGTTCTTTTTCATAAACTGAGTTCTTAATCACAAAGAACTGTTGGTTTGTGTCTCAATGTCTAGATTGTATAATTTTTTTAGGTTTAAATAGTAAAGACTTATTGCACATTTAAGTTGGAAGAAATTTATCAGGATGGCATCATAGATTTCATATGTACATGTAGTTGAGCAAAATCCTCTTGGAAGGATTGAGCTCTCAATCCTATATATATATATATATATATATATATAGGTTGGCTTAAATTCTATCGAGAGGATTGTGGTCTCAGTCCCATCATTACAAACTCAGTCATGAAGCACCATCAAGTTGAAGATCGTGTTCGATAAATATGAGGTTGGAACCAGACTTCTCAGAATTTGTGATTTGGATATATGCCCCTCAAACTAACGCAATGTAGTGTAAAAAATATTCATGCATAAAACTATGGTTTAGAGCTCAAGACTGTTATTATATGTGATCAGAATTCCTGATCCTGCTCTAATTCTTATCAAATATATGTCTACAAAAGTTTATTGATTTTGGATTCTGTAATTTTGTTTTATCAAGATCATAATACATTGTACACCATTAATCAAACTTCTTTATTCTCTACTTAAGGCATATATTAGAATGCTGAATCTTCGAGTCTAGGCTTTGTGAACATTGTAGACCATGTTCACTGGAGCTAATATTATGATTTAGAATCTCAATGACTGATTTTGAGGTGATTGAAATGAGGTCTCAATCCTTCCTGTTGGATTATAGCTCAACACTCTCTTGATGCATGTACAACTGTGGAAAAGATAGTAGAGCAACTGATACATCTATCTATCAGATTTTCCATGGCTTTCAATGTAAACCCATGCACGCACACACACTCACAAAAGAAAAAAACCCATGCACAAGCATATTATCTGCATTGTACTTCAATCTAGAGTGAAATGATAGAACTACTAGAACTAATTTCTCAAATTTCCAAAACGGATCATGTCTCTAATCAGTAGTTTTTTAATTGAATTGGAGTCCATTAAATATATCCTTGAGTAATCATTGGAGCCTATTTCAATTATTGCTTTTCATTCCAGGTGTCTACTGGTGATGCAAGGGAAAAGTGCGGATCTAGCCAAACGTGCTATCCCCTCCCTCCGCAAGCAGCGAATACTTGTAACTTTTGGAAAATCTCGACCGAAGAAGACTCTTCCTTCAGAAGCCTCGTTCTTCCCTTCATCTGCTGTATATCCAGCCTCAGGTCCATCATCAGCTAGGCCACTAAACTCCTCCCGTCATCCATCAGGCCGTAGGAACTATGGGGTCATTCCCACTACTGGTGTCCTGCAAGCACCCTCGATCCATCCTCATAGCATGTCTCCTAATGGAGTCCAGCCACTATTTGTGGCAGCAGCGCCTGTGGTGGCTTCTTCGGCTATGCCTTACCCTGCACCTACCATGACGCCCCCTGCAACGGCTGGATGGACGGTGACAGCTCCTCCGAGGCACCCATCCCCCCGACTCCCGGTTCCTGGCACCGGAGTCTTCCTCCCTCCTGGGTCTGTTCATTTGCCTCCATCTCAGCAGCTGCAAATGGTTCCGGTACCGGCTGAATCGAGCTATGCTCCACAACAAACGTTTGCTTTGCCCGAGAGCAACGGCGTGGAGAAACCAAACTGCAACAGCTATGCTTCTCCAAAGAACGTAAAGGATTCAACCGTGCCTAGTCTGAAAACCAAGAGCACCGGTAATGCTGGCGCAAACAAAGAACAGCAAAGCGCTGTTGCTGAGAAGCCCGTGAACAATCTGACGGAAATCGTTGCTAAGTAGATGAACCGATCGAGTCTGAAGAGGGAGACAAAAAAAGGGATGTGTACTCTTCAAACAAATAGCAGGATAGTCAGGAAACCACGAAAGAGTTTAGGAGCAAATGTAAAGAGCGGCAGAGGAATTGCTACATCACCTCTTCTCCTTTTTGCATGTCAAGGATTAGGAGTAAAACCTTCTCATTTAACTTTTTGTAGCATCACTTTTTAAGTTCTATACCTATTTCATCTTCAACTGCTGTTAAATTTGCACTGTGTGACTTTGGCTGCTTCACCGGAGAAAACATGAACGGGTAGCCATCTTTTTTTACCTGCTCCTTCCTGCTTTCCATCACCATGGCTAAATCTCATATTCCATTCTTGCTTTGTTTGCAGGTCGGTCTTCTATTCTCCAACATCAGCTGACTCCGACGAAGGTACTACTAATTGTCATCATCTCATCTCTAGTTCAATATTTTGAGTATGAAAAATATAGTGAATCTTATTGTCATCTCATCATCATCATATAGCAATACTCAAGCTATTATTCATTTCGTTTTCCAGCTTAGTGAATCTTATTGTCATAATATTATTATTTGTATTAAACTAAAGTATATGTATATATGATTTTTCCAACCAACCCACCCCTCAATGACATGAGCCATATTATTGTACATGGAAAAAGAAGCCAACTCAAGTCAATAACCATGACGATCTCCTTTCAACCCAACCTTGATGCTACACAAAAGGCATTCGGGGATGAAATGGAAATGGACTCGTATGCTACTTCTAATCAACTTATATGTCGTATCAATTTATAGGAATAATACATTCTAACCTTGACATGGTCTTCTCCACCAAAGCGTGTGGTGATTCAGATGTGGTCTTCGCAATCGATGCATCTCCTCTTAATGTGATTATTCATAATCAAAAGTGTCTACCTCCACTTAATGTGTCTTGATCAAGCAAAAGCATATGATATGCTTGATATGTTGCCTTTTCGATCAGGCATCTCTCCATGCTAACCAACCATAGTATGCGATGCATTGGTTATAATCTTCACAGGCAAACCCCGTCTCTCCACGCTCCACCCGTCATGAACAACCAAATCCTGTAATATAATACTGAGTCACCCCATCCAACACTTTCCAAGATCTAATTCTCAAAACATAATCACCTTTGTAAGATTGATCACATTAAATTGACTTTGTAACATGACTCAATAATCTAGTCTAACACTAATTCAATTAATTGAATTAAAAATAAAATAATTATATATCTAAGAATATTGTTATCATCATCGTCGTCGTCATCATCATCATCAATGCTATATAATTTATGTTAAAATAGTTCATATATTAAGAAGAAAATGACACTTTAAATTCGTAGATGCGACATTCAAATGATGAACCGAAAGACTAGTCTTACGAGAATTTATTATATTCTCACGGATATATATGAACCGAAAGGCTAGTCTTACGAGAATTTATTATACTCTCACGGATATATATATTGTAATCACAAGCCGATCATATAACTAAAGCTTATCGACGTTTAGCAACAAGATCATCGCATCTGACCAATAAGACCAAATCCTCTCCTCATTTTACAACCCCTTTTACAAAAATTTGCAACTCCTCTCATCAAGCCACGTAGGGCTCCATGTCCATATTCAAATGTCATCATCGCAGTCATTAGTACAATAAATACCTTGGATATTCTCAACCAGCAAGGAATGAAATAAGGCGTAAATAAACTCACCAGTGATGAAGTCAGACACAATGCCAAACCAGAGAGGGACCAGACCAGAAAGTATGCCACTCACAAAGGGGCAATGTGGTAAAGCATACAGTGGAAATATTAGTCCCTTTGGGGCAACCAACTAAGTTTGTCCAGAACACATGCTCCCAACTTCTAATTGCATGAGAACTTCTCACTGCAGTTAATAGTAGCCATTAACATTTTGGCATAAATGTTAAGACTGGGGGGGCAGCACCGACACTTTGTAAAACCTCAACAATAATCACATCATATACAACAGGACATGGTCCTTCTTCCCACAGAAGGCAACACACCTACATCACATCCTGACTTCAAGACAAATTTAGCAAAGTTCAATTACAACATCTGGTAAGCAGCTTCTTGAATTCGACAACGGCTTCTTTCCATTTGCTAATCTTGCTGCTTCGCGTGCCACAACCGCAGATATGCGTCAGCTGATGATGCACATCACAACTTTCTCTGGTGAAGGTCGAGCATCCGCCACCACGAAGAGTCAAGATGATATTGGTTCGTAAGGATGGGACAGCCATGGATGCCGCAGAGCCTCTGAGGCACTTGGTCGCTTCTTTGGGTTTACTTCCAGAAGATAAGCAATGAAATCGATAAAGCCTTGATCACCCATTGGCAACCGGTGACGTACTGACGTCTTCTTTGGGATCAAATATTCTAGCCGATTGGTTTCCTGGAAAGAAGTGTAGTTGAAATTCAATGCTTGTCAGATTACGTTACAAAACATGCAAAAGAATACTGTCTACAAGAAATATACTTTGTATAACACAAAACCTTCATAGTTTATACCAGAGGAAAAATGGTATGCCCCCGCCAAGGATACAGAGTAATTTTGCAGAAGTCATAAACGAATGGCAAACTGAAGAATAAGCATCAAGAGTATGTACAATCATCCGATGGGAAAGATATCTAAAGATGCGAGTTGAAGCATCTGAGATGCATCATCCAACTATCTCATTTTTAAATATTTCCATGCAGGGATGTGGAACATGAAGAGCTTTCACATATGATACGGGCTTTTTTGTCCCAGACTAGCATGCATATCTATCGTTTAAGTCTAAGCACTAGAGAAAAGCAAAAGATCATCAGAAACTTATTATTGGTGATGGGTCATATATGAGAGATCTCAAACCTGATTCCTTTCATATAACATGTGGTTCTTTGTGAAATATTTGTATGTATCACGTCCCTTTGCAAGCAACCCTCGGTCAATGGGGCCAATGATCCCAATCACACGAGCCAGTAGCGTTGCAGGAGAGTCATTTTGGAAGAGAACCTGCAGATAAATGAATACAGATTGCTCTTACATGATGAATCTTGTAGTGGCAAAAGTTCAAGTATATTGTCACTCAAAACCTAGTAAATTCTAAGAGAACTTACACCAGATCAACTAAAAGTGAATACAAGCTTCTTAGCAAGACCAAGATGGAAAATAAAGAGGTCTTCATGTTAGGCGAGAAGGATAACCAAGAGATGAAGAGCTATTCTTTCGGACCACAATTTAAGCAGGAAATCCAAATGACATAAACAAATTATGTGAATAAACAAAAAGTAATCCTTCAACAATAAATCACGCTGCAAACACGGAAGAATTACAGGTGAACGAATCATGCTTCAGAGAACAATTACTTAAATAGTAAAATTGGCCCAACAATGAGTTCCTTCTGTAACATGTTAATTTTTACAGCTTTATACCAACACTTAAAGATGGGCTCCATATCTCTTCCCAGCCATTCTTGCTATCATACCTTTAGCCCCTTTGGATCTTAAAACAATGCCCATATAGATATGAACATAAAAAACCACATTTAGGCATATCTACGTGCCTAGGAAACAAAAAGATGAGCAAACATTCAAGAAAAAAAATGAATTGAAGTAATTAATAGACAACAAACAAGTCTCACTTCGACTTTAGGGGAAGATGTGCTCAGCAGAAACCTAATACAAAGAGATCATATTTTTCTTCTAGTATTCAAAATCTATAATCAAGAAGTTAGAGTTATATTAAAGTAGAACTTGACAATACATGAACAACACAACTTAACAGACTATATTAAATGTATTATTCTGACAACTGATAAGCATAAGCTTGTAAAAAATGCCATTGGCGAAAGAAAGTTCCCTTTCTTATGGAAGACTGGCCTTGTTAACCTTGGACAAGAACTATTCTCAATAATCAGACATCACAAGTATAAGAGAAACAGAATATACGAGTTAAGGGATCAGCACAAAAACTACATAACTTAATTAAGACTTGAATATACACATAGAGAGATAAGCTAGCTAAACATACAATTGCACAAATTTTAAGTTTGAATGAAAAAGATGTGAGACAACCAGAACTTCAATGACTGGCATGCATTGGAAAGAAGTCCAAGTTAGTAACTTACATTTCCGGTGCAAAGCTCGGCCAAGATACATCCCAGTGACCAAATGTCTATCTTTTTGTCATATGGGAGGCCCAAAATAACCTCAGGAGCACGATAAGATCGTGACTGTACATAAGAACACAAATGATCTGTTTCAAAGCAGCTGCTACCAAGGTCGATAACCTTAACTTCACACCTGCTGTAGCTCTTTACCAATATATTCTCAGGCTTCAAATCACAATGAATAAGACCAAGACCATGCAAAAACCGAAGTGCTTCCAGACATTGGATTGTAATTGACTGCAGATGTAATTTAAATCACAAATTAGCAATTTTAGTGAGACAAAAAAATTGTGATCACAGGCAGTGGCTATTCCATGTAACCTGAAGCCTAGGCATTGTGAAATAAACTTCTCCTCCAGATTCTCTGTTGAATTTATGAAATTCATATAAGTTGGCTTTGAGAAGTTCACAAACTATCAACAAGTGTTCCTGAACAAGTCAAAAACATCAATCAGACTAAACCAAATAACACTTTTTTCTATCAAATATATGCTTTAAGATCTATCACACACAATACACATAGGCACAATGCAAAATGAGATACTAAACAGTACCAAACTCACTACATCATCGTATAGATTTAACTTATTTAACTTAAAATACTCCAAGATAGAGATACATAATACATAGGGTTAAATTGGTTAACAAAATAATCGGGAAAACTCAAAACTAGTAAAAAGAACCCAACTTAGAACAGCAATTATGAATTGAGTGGTCGAAATATAAGAATTTACTCACCCGATAATAGAAATAATCATACAGACGTAGGATGTGGTACTTGTCAGCAGGATCATTCTTGTTGACAAATTTCAAAAGCTTAATTTCATCAAGGCTCTGATCAAAGAAATCTTTATTATTCTTGATGATTTTCACACAAACATCCATGCCAGTGTGCAAGTCATGTGCCTGAATAGCTTTGCTAAATGCAGCAGAACCCAAATATTCAGTAACATGATAACGTCCAGCAATGACAGAATTCGGAACCACATGAAAGTTTTTGTCTTCTTCAAAGCCAGTTCTGCAAGTGGCAAAAGGAAAATACAATGTAAGAGCAGAAAAACAAAAATGAACATGTGTAAGTCAAAGCACTTTCTTCCCAAACAAAGAAGAAATGGACCAAAACATGTATATCATGGAGAAGCAGCAGGAGATTGTTAGCAGAAAAGAAGGAAACACAAAAACACATGTTCAAAACCCAGTTATGCATTGATCAGAATACTGCTGAAAACAAAAAAATGATGAATATAAGCATGCCTGTTTTTCCGATGCACTATCTTGAGATAGAAAGTCTCGAATTCCTCCTCCTGAACTTTTATCTGTCTTATTTGGTCCTGCAATGCTGCTGCTTCTTCATCTTCTAGTGTTGCTCCACGGTCTTCTTCACTTATTTCATTGGCTTCATGGTGCCCTTTACTAATGCTCTCTGTTACAGCATAGCCATAGTTCGAGCCTGATGATGCACTCGAGTTTCTTGATCTAGCCACATCAGAAATCTCCTCATCTCTGGAGCTCTTTACAGGAGAAGAATCACTACCTTTTCTTCTCCAAGTGGCGAGCATATCCTCTGTAGCTATGCCATTTGCACACTCATCAGGACTATGAGCAGCATTGGTTTTGCTTGAAGATAATGTTTTGCCAGAATCAGCCTCCAGCATACTTCCGGTTTTCAGAAGAGGAGGGAAGGAAAAGCCACCATCAGTGCTCACTCCTGATAGGCTCATATCATTTTTACATGCCAAAATGTCGCCATCCTGTTTATTTCCCCTCATCTTTTCTCTCTTTGGTCTATGCATATCAATATCAGTTGTATCATTTTGATGATAACTTCTGCCACTTGCACTGACACCGTGATCAGGAAAGAAATCTGTGTCCCCTTCACTACTTCCTCCGACCAAGCTCTCACGAACTTCACTACCAATCTCAGCAGCATCGCTATTTATTCCCACACCAATTGACCTGACTGAACCATGCTGATCATCTTCTGTAAAAGGATTCTCCTGATGACTTCGTCCAACATCGTTGGGGCCTTTCCCATTATCTAACATCATCAATTCATTGTTTTGTGTGACAAAACCTTGCCAGACAGGTTCCGAACGCATCAAACTTAGTTCTTCAGCATCCATCAACTGCCCATCATAATGAGCTATCAGATCACTTTCATCTGTTTTGTCATACATTTCTAGCATTTTATGACCCATTGATCCTGCTGAAATAGCAACTTGTTCAACATTTTTTGTTGGCAAATACTGCTCGCCTGACAAGTATGAGTCTTCCTCAGCAAAAGAAGTGTCATCTTCGTCTTTAATGGGAGCCTGATCCTGATGATCAAGCACACTCCCATGACCTGTTCCTTTTTCATTATCACTTGGACAATCAACTTCATGTGCCAGAAACCAGGTTTCATCTTCAATGGGCTGCCTTGTGTATCCAATATCATCATCATCATCATATTCATCAGAATCCCAATACTCGTTTGGGTAATCAAGTGATTCATCACCAACGGTAGCAAAACCAGATACCAAATCGGAAGTGTCCTCGGAAATACCTTGACTTACAGACAGCCAATTGCTTCCAATTGTTCGCCTGCCACCTGTTATATATATATTTGAATTATTAGTGCCAATTTGCGAAAAAACAAGGATCATATGTATCGATCAAATACACATCATAGGAAGTATAACATCAAAATACCTTAAAACAATCAATTGTAATATCAACAGATAAACCTCAAATTTATATTTCCTGAAAAGTCAAGATTCAAGGTTATGATAGGAGTCATGGGACTAGGCAATCAATGCAAGCAAAAAAAAAAGGAAGGGGGGGGGGGGGGGGAGGGGGGGGGCAGAGAGAGACAATCTACAGATTGGCCCAAGTAACATATTCATGAGCCAAAAAGACAGGATCTACAGTCTCTCATCCAAATGGCTCTGCACTGCCGTCCTTGTAATAAAACATGAAAAAAATCAGGTTTCAGCTTAAACCACCAGTTTTAACAATCTGTTCAGGTTTCCACCAACTGTTAAGGAAACCTAGCAAACTCATACAAAAGAAATGCACTTGCCTCTAGAGAGGCCCAGATTATAGTAATTTAAAGAAGAGTGTAAGAGATATTCTGAAATCATCTTTGAGGCTTCCAATGCTTGACGACGAGTACAATTATGTTCTTCAACTTCTTGTTTCCAAGTTTCATAAGTGGATTTTTAAATCAATTGAATTGAAAATCAAGGTTACCAATTTTTAGTCACTAACTATGGCATGTGCTGAAGCACATTTATTTGGAGTGAACAAGAAATGTGCCAATCAGCATCAGGACTAGAAGCATGATATAAAATATAAGAATCGGAACTCAAATTATAAGAAGCATCAAAAAATTGTTTAGGATCGAGAAGCCGATCCCAACGAAACACACTTAACACAAAAGACAATACATATTTATATAAGCCTCTGAGATCAGTAAATATGTTGGTGCAGTGCAGGTATTCTTGAGCAGATAATTGACAGTTATTTACTAAATTATGCAAACAACAAATGGTGATGATGGATTTTAATATCATGACCTTGAAATAATCCGACAAAGTTTTTACCAACTAATATAGTAACTTCAAGAAAATACTGAATGAGATCTCAAAATGTCAACCCAAAGATAAGCGAGTTAGGTGAATGATAAAAAATTCTGAGTCCAATCAGTAAACTATATAAAAAATTCAATACTTGTCATGTGCTTATAATGTCAGTCTTAACTTCTGCAGGACTTTCTCTAAGGCAGATTGTGAGTCTGCTATAATCTCAATGCTAGCAAAACTACAAAAGAAGGCAATCCCTATGTTCTGCAGTACTTTCTCGAAGGCAGATTGTGCGCCTGCTATAATCTCAATGATAGCAAAACTACAAAAGAAGTCAATCCCTATGTAGATTGACGTACCTAATTCTCGAAAACACATTCTCCTCCAGTTATAGCAAGTGAAGGGAGACACTATAAAAATTTAGGGCAAAAATGCGATGCAATAGGCATATCTTTATTTATGGCCATGAAAGTGGACAGCTATTTTGCCCTTATCTATTGCAGAAACATAATGTGCCACAACTAAGCTTATTTACACAATACCAACCAAATTAAAAACTCAGCAACCGCAAACCTGAGGAGTTGATCTCCTGCCCGATGGGGACATCAAGGTAAGATCCAATCATAAAGGTAGTATCAGCATTGGATGGCTTCATTCCAGATTCATGACAATCAGCCTTTTCCTCCCACTGCAGGTTGACTAATTTGTCTTCAGATTTAAGCCGTACAGGAGGCAGCCTTGGTAGCTCATCCCTGTGATGTCCACCAGAAACTGGTCCATCAAAATTCTTAAAAAAATTTTGTTCTGCACTATCTAGAGACTTCCCATCAAAGGATGATCTGCTCACAGCATCTAGCTCCTCTTTTGTTGATTCCCTAATGTCATCACTATTAATTTTATGCTTAAACTCTCTTCTTTCACTAGCATGTCCAATATAACCGGACGAGGCATTATCCATGGGAAATGGAAAAACTGTCTTCACAGAACATCCGGGATCCCCACTTTTCACCCATGGATCATCAAGAAAATGGCCCTGACAGTAGGCAGTTTGATCTTTATGATCAATAACTTGGCTGATGTTAGGCTTCACTTCAACATCAGTTTTATCCATGTCCATATCATAAGAAACCCTTTGCTCCACCGGCCAATCAGGTTCAACACCAACAGCACGATCTCTCTTTTCCAACACAAAAGAACCCCGTCGATGCTTTGGTTCTTCCGATATCAAGATGTCAGCAAAGTTGTTTCCAGTGCCAGTATTTTTCGAAACAGAACTAGTACTGGCAGTGGAAATAAAATTCCAAGGGTAGAGATCTACTGAACCGCTTTCCCTACCCTGACCAAGACCGCAACCCTTTTTGCTGCCGAATCCATTTCCAATCCCTCCTACTTCAATCTCCTTTACAACGAACTCTTTAGAACTCTCAGCAATCTGCGAGCTGGTACTTTGTTGCCTCACACTATCAACTTCCCCAACAGTTCTTCCCACTTCTTTCTCTTCAGCAAGGTGCTTCTGAAGGAACCCGTTCAAATCTGGTCGGGCATTGAGCTCCCCCCGTAAAGCAGCCTCGGCGTTGGTAAACCGATTTTTCTTCAAGAACTCCAAGACCACGTTCACCGAGTCCACCATCTCCCAACAAAAGAAGAGCCTGCTACACCGCTAGGGACGCACAGGAAAAACCTGCAAAACGACCAAAACGAGAACCAAAAAATAGTTATGTCCTTTGTAGTTCTCTTGCTCGTGTTTTCCTTTCGCCAAAGACAAAATCTTGCGGCGAAAATACAGCTAGATTCTCAATAAATAGCATGCAAAACCCTAGCCCTGGCTTTCAAGAACCAGATTTTCTTTCGGAAAGAACCCATGGCCGGCAAAACCGACAACCCACCTTAGGATCGGGGCCTGGAACGAACCCTATGGGGGCTCATTCCAAACCCTAAAATCCGGAACCGAATCCGCGGGCGAAGGAAAGGGGAAAAAAAAAAAAAGAACTTTTCGCGGAGAAGAGACGAGGGAAGAATAGACTCACGGATCGAGACACCGACGGGGTTGAGATGGAGACGGGGCGGGTCTCGGCGACAGCGGCGCTGCAGGGACGGGAAGCGTTCCCACTGCGGACGGCAGCGGCACCCGGCGACATTAGGGGCGGCAGCGGAGGACGAGGAGGGGGAAGGGGGAGCACGGCATTTGGGGACGCCTTGATTCGATTTCGAGGGCTTTGCACCAACGCCGATCCACCAACGCCGATATTAGTCCCAAGAATAGCCGTAATATTACGTCTTGTGGCTGGTAATCTGACAATAATTACTAAAAAGAATTAATTATTACCCCTCCTTTTCTTTTACCTCAATAATTTTTAGTCCAAAGGACTAATTAATAACTCCTCCTTAAAATATATCTTTGGTAAATAACAATTAACTACAAAAAAAAAATTATTTGGAATTTTAGTCCTAATAATAGCAATATCCTTCTCCACCATCAATTACCCTCTTCCATCCACAGAGTAACTACTAACTCGAGTAATTAATTATAATCTAAAACTTAGTCACAGATTAATGTGCTAAAACTAATCTAAATTCATGTGGGTAGATTTAGTCAAATTATGCATAATTTTAATCCCAAAACCTTACAATAATCAACTAATGCAAGCATAGAATAACTACAAACTTAGTCATAGTAAGATTAAAGATACATCTATCCATAGATTTAATGGTGACTTTTAGATGATTAGAAGCACATAAAGCAAATAATAAGGATAATTATATCTTAATTTGTTTTACTTAGAGCTATAACGAATGATGTTTATTCTCTTATTTACTCTTTATCAGACTAATCTTTCTCTAATGACATCAGTTCGACGTCAGGACACATTGAATGCTGCGTAGGTCACAATTTGGGTGGCTGACGAACCAGAAGGTTCACATGATTAATGCCGCTTTAATTGCTGCAAATGGAGACCTCGTATCCAAGACTTCTGTTTGATCCTTGGCGAAAGCTTGCGAGTGTGGTTTCTCTTCGCATTGAGGTAAGTTTCTTGATGTATTGTGGTGCATTTTTGCTGAAGCGGAATGCTGTAGGATAGGTGTTTGTGATATTGACTCTGTTTGATCGTTGGCGAAAGCTTGCGAGTGTGGTTTCTCTTCGCATCGGGGTAAGTTTCTTGATGTATTGTGGTGCATTTTTGCTGAAGCGGAATGCTGCAGGATAGGTGTTTGTGATATTGACTCTGTTTGATCGTTGGCGAAAGCTTGCGAGTGTGGTTTCTCTTCGCATCGGGGTAAGTTTCTTGATGTATTGTGGTGCATTTTTGCTGAAGCGGAATGCTGCAGGATAGGTGTTTGTGATATTGACATACATGGCTTGCACCGGCACAGAGGTTCCTCGACGAAGGCTGCTGCTAGCACGCAGGTGGAGGATCTCCAAATACTGGCTTGGATGTTTCTTTTCTGGGCCACTTGCTTACTGTCTCCGCACGGAATTCTTCTTCCTCCTGCAATCTCTGTCAACCTTCGATGTGATCTGCGCCCTCGTTTGGTCCCTGTCTATGACAAGGTCTTCCTACCTCATCATGATAAGCTTCATCATTAGCTCACTACGTTTAGTTTGATCTGATTCGGTCTACTTTTGCATTTAAAATATAAAAGAAGGCCGATTTTTTTTAGAGAAAATATTCGTATTTTGGTTATTTTTTAAAAGATATTTCTCTTTTACTTTTTTTCTCAAATAATATTTTTAATTTTAAAAATATATATAATATCTCTCATAATTTTTTTCGCTTGTTTTCAATTATTACAGTGCTTTCATTTGATTCGTTTAAAGTATTTTTTAATAATATTTATAATATTCTATTGATGTACTGAAAACACTATAAGAAAATAATATCATTTTATAGATCATTGTAATATTATATTCTTATATTTATAATTAGCTTGATTGAGGTTAGGAGTCTTTTTTAGATCATTTATCATGTTTTTATTGTGATAACCAAAATATAATAACAGACAAATTTTTTTTTTAGAGACAGATTAGATATTTTTAAAATTAAAGGATACTATTTAGAAAAAAAAATAAAATAGAGGTATTGATTAAAAAAACCCAAAATGGGAGTATTTTTTAGAGAAAAATACCTATAAAAAATTATGTTTGCAATCTATTTTAAAATTTCCATTTGACTTACCTATAATCCATATGAATATACATACGTTCTTTTCATTTCTTTTTCACGAGTATAATTTTCCATTTCGAAGATAGGTGACATTTCAATAACATTATCATTTAACTCCACAAAAATTCTGAAAATATGCTCCTCAATAACTTTTTTGATAAAATTATTAATTTGTTGACTAAAGCTGAAAAAAAAAATCAATCCTATTGTTTTAGAGAATAAATTATTAGGGATTGCATTAAGTAATATTTCCCACTTTTGGATTATATTTTAATTATTGTGAGGTTAACCATGTTCTAAAGGGTGACATGATCTCCAATACATCAAGAAAAAAAAATCAAACAAATAGCTCTGGTCAAGATTCCCTTTAAGAACAACTATAAATAAAAAATGAGTGCAACAAAGTAAGATGATTTCTAAAGTTCCCTCAATAATTCCATCCAAACTGTGTTGGATCCAAAGAGAACCACATAATTTCATGCATGATAAAATCATTTTTTTTTTATACATTTATGTGTTTCTTTTCCTCCTAAACTATTCTTATCCTACTCAACAAAATCATTCAAAAAAATCTTTTTGATGATTTATCCCCACCATTACTATCCCACCCATCTTACTATCCACTAAATTATTTTCTCAATAATAACATTATATATATATACATATATATACACATATATATGTATATATGTATGTATATGTATATATATATGTATATACATATACATATATATATACATATACATATATGTATATATGTATACATATATATGTATACATGTATACATATACATATATATGTATACATATATATGTATATGTATATGTATATATATATGTATACATATATACATATATATATACATATACATATATATA